CGCTGACTTCGACAATCGGAGATAGCCCGGCGCTTGGCCGTGATCGCCGCTCACCTTCTGCAGGGCCTGTCTCTCGGGGCTGCCCGGCGCGTACTCCAGGATAGGTTCATTCTGGACGTCCGGCACGGCGCAGTGGTGCCCGCGCACCAACCACGATCTGGCGCGCACGAACAGAATCAGAAGTTTATTTCCCGAGTAAAGCCAACTGGGCCACGCTGATCGTTTTTCTCAAGTGCAACTCACCCGGCCGACAACAGCGGCAGCAGAGTTGCAAATTACCAGTTGTGCATGCATTAAAACAAATTAGAATTGTTACGTAAAAAGAAAATCGAGGAGTGGTGGCGCAGTGGTTACAGCAATGAGCAAGGAAATGCAGCAGGGCCAAGTTTGGTTCTCGCTCACAGCCAACAGTGGCGAACATATGAACCGGTCCTAGGCCTCCCCTGAGTCGACTCGGCTTTAAATGAGTATCATCTCGTGCCACGTGTAAACAGCAGCGCCGGGGACACACCCCTCCTCTGGGTTCATCACGGGTTTGCGCCCGTGATGAAGTGTCACTGGCGTTGGCCAAACGCCAGTCTGTGTAGCAGCAACCTCCTAAAACAAGAGACTTCAGACTCGGAGTGACTTGCCTGGGTGGAAACAAGTGATTATTATTTTTCGTAGGATCCTGTGATTGCATCCGATGGCAATATGTTCAGGAGCTCGATGGCAACGTGGAGGTCTGCTGGCCGCGAGAGGGCTTCAGGAGAGAGTTCGTGGTGTTTTGCTGTTCCTCCTCCGTTGAAGGTGATTCGGAGGGTGATGTAACGCAAAATATAAACACACACAGTGTAACCGGCGTTGGCCAAAACATGCCCAATGGTACAAACCCAAACTGAAAATGACTTTATTGGGATGACACGCACAGCAAAATCGCCCCTTACTGCGAAAACCTGGCAGGGCCCTCGTGAAAAAGGGGCTTGAGACTCAGTGAGGCTCTTCTGGGTGAAGTAGTACAGCAGTAGAGTAATACTAATAAATTATGATTACACCATTTTCATGACGAGATTACTTCATTTGTGGAACCGTCGCACTGCGAGTTTGCGCAGCGTTATGAAGGCCTCAAGCTGTTGACTATTACACCAGACTAGAGGCAGATTATTGACGGAGTTAATCGCAGACGGTGATGCAACATCTGAAGAACACCCCGAGTGGGGTGCGGAATGTGGGGGGGGGGTCTTTGAGCAGAGAGGGCGCTTCCAGTGTCACAACTCCAGCCACGTGCGTGCAGGATGGTCCAGATGTCTTGTGACCCCCAATTAATTGACCCATATTATTTGAAAACCCATAACACTGATGTCCTGACGCTCCAAGAAACACACGTCTTGAATGCCATACATGCCAGTCGCTACCACCACCAACTGACCCCAAACATGTAATTTTGCTTTGCATATTCAGTTATGTTTTATATGAACGTTATATTAAAAAAACATTACGTTTTAGAGATTTAAATGGAGGTCACTAGACATCTGGATCACTCTGTGCCAAGGGCGGTGTTCTCGCGCGATCATGCTGGCTCCTACCCAGGTCCTTCAACACATTCCAGATCCTTCCACAGCCCCCCCCCCCCCGCGGTGGCCAATATTGCACGCATAGCTGCCAACCCATAAGCTCTACCCGTATTCTTGTACAGGGAAAGTGAGTTTTCAGGTGCGGGTCTAAATACGGACGAAAAAAAGTGTTTTTGTCTATTTGTGTTTCTCCCTTGTGATGGGACTTTGTAGGATGGTTGAGATTTAAAAGGGCACGGGGTGACCAGTAAGGTCTGAATTGGTTTGTAATAAGGTAGGGCACTGATAAGGGGTTGACAGGTATGTGCACGTGGGGGGTCACGTTGTTTAGAATATTCTTAGGACAAAGAACAAACTCGAACGCAGCATAAGCAGCTTCACGACAAGACAGAACAGGTCCGTCTCAAACATCGCACCTCCAATCAGCACGGTTGGCTACGTAGGGTGCGAAAGAAGTTCAACATACGTGTACACGCAAACAATTCTCGTTTGGCCCGATGGCAAATAAAAATCCCCAATTCAGAATCCATCTCCATATATAGGAAAGGCAAAGTTGTGATTATGTGTGTCTGTTCAAAATGTTTAGCGTACTTCCCGACATGCAACAAACTTGAAATTTGCCATGTGGGTACTTTCCAGACTGTACACCATGCAAACATTATAAAAATAAACTTTTATGGGGGGGGGGAGCTCAATTTTGCACGGCAAGTGAACTGTGACGTCAAATCTGTCATGTGACCCGCGCATGTGGAAGCGTAACGCATTGTAGTGGTTGGCGCGCTGTGTATGTGTCTGTGTGTCTGTGTGTGTCTGCCTGTGTCTGTCTGTGTGTCTGTCTGTGTGTCTGTCTGTGTCTGTCTGTGTCTGTGGAAGCGTAACGCATTGTAGTGTAGTGGTTAGCGCGCTGTGTATGTTTGTGTCTGTCTGTGTGTCTGTGTGTGTGTCTGTGTGTCTGTGTGTGTCTGTCTGTGTCTGTCTGTGTGTGTGGAAGCGTAACGCATTGTAGTGTAGTGGTTAGCGCGCTGCGCTACGAACCCGGCGAGCCGAGTTCGATTCCCGCTCACGGCCACCACTGGTGACGATTATTTGAACCGGTCCTGGGCCTCCCCTAGGTCGACTCAGCCTCAAACGAGTAACTGGTGTAGTGTGTCAACATCGCCACTGGGGAGACAAAGGCGGCCGGGCGTGGTGGATCCAAGTCCCGGGCGAAGCCGGGAAGTAAAGCTAGTACATTATAAAACATCAACTCAGTACCAATAGATGGTGCGAGCACTTGATAGGACTGCAAGTCTGGAGTACGTTGCCGTGTTTAATCCATCCTGGTACAGTAATTATTATCATCGGTCACAGAGCTTGGTGTAGCAGTCACCGCTGGTCTACAAAAGCCTCCTTGGATTCGCCCTGCCTACCTCTCATCTCACTCCACTCCCCTCCACACTCTCCTACCTCTCCCCTCTCATCTCACTCCACTCACTCTCCTACCTCTCATCTCACTCCACTCTCCTACCTCTCGATCTCACTCCACTCCCCTCCACACACTCTCCTACCTCTCCCCTCTCATCTCACTCCACTCCCCTCACTCTCATCTCACTTCACTCACTCTCCTACCTCTCATGTCACTCCACTCCCCTCCACTCAGTCCCCTATTCACCGTGTCTTGTTCACAGTCCCCTGTTCACAGTGCCTTGTTCACAGTGTATTGTTCACAGTCCCCTATTCACAGTGTCACGCGCCAGCAGTAACTTGTTGAGCAGCTCCGGGGGGCAAGGCATCTTCTTCATGCCTTCCAGATGACTGACAAAGTAATTCTCTGCTGGCAAAGGACGCTGCTCACAATGGCCGCGTCAGATACACTGAGCCTGCACTTCTAATGACCTGGGTTCGAACCAGGGTTTCGCGCACGTGGGCGATCAAATCCGCCGGCTGGCTGCGAAATACACCCCAGGGCTCGGGTCCCCATAGAGAGGTCCGGCTCCCCATAGGGGGGTCCGGCTCCCCATAGGGGGGTCCGGGTCCCCATAGGGGGGTCCGGGTCTCCCCCCCCCTAAGCGATGAAGCACGGTTGGCTGCGTACGGCGCGAAAGAAGTTAAACATACAGGGAACCTGGCAGTAGCAGGGGTGCAGTGGGATCTCACCTCCCCGCTGTGTGTATGTGTGTGTAATGATTGGCCACTGCCCCTAACGTCTCCTATGATTTTTTTGTATAAGGCCACAACACTGCTCCTGCCCTCACTGCCCCCTACCCCCCACTGCCGCCCAGTGGCCCATGCTTTACCCGCAATGCCCCCCCCCCAATCCCCTTGCTCCACGCCAGTGTCCTTTTGCCACTCTCCACTGCCCTCTACACCTCACCACTGCTCCATTACCTCTATACACTGCCCCCCCCCCACCGCCGCTGCTCGGTCCCTACCCCCAACTGCCCCCCACGCTGCCCTCCACGCTGCCCCGTACCTGGTGGCTGTGGGGCGACAGAGGCGGACGATTGAGTTCATTGCTGCTGAAGGCAGCTGATGCTGGACGAGACCACGATGCCAGGGATTGCAAGGGGGGGGTGGTGGCGGGGGTGGTGTCCAACACGCCGACCTCCCGCCGCCCACGTTGCCGGATTGGTCGAGCCCACGATGTCACGAGTGCGGCCATCTTGGTGCGGGAAGCCCGAGGGCCGCTCACACGGAGCGGATGGACCGCGACATCACCGAAAGCGCTCGGATTGCCCGCCCCTGAGTAAGATGGCTGCTAAGGCACCCCCCCCCACCCACCGGTGTTGTGACGTCACGAGAATCCCGCCCCGGAGTAAGATGGCTGCCAAGATACCCCCCCCACACGCCGAGTGCCGATGGACGAATCACATACATGGGGGCGCGAAACAACCGACCAATGGGATTGGGAGGACGTCGCCTGTCACGTGATACCGCGCCCCCTCACGAGTTAAAAATAGAACCGTACACAACTAACAAAAGCATGAGCGAGCAAACATCTGACTGGGTATTAAAGCCGACGCGACGCCGCCAATAAAATCATAGACTCCATCGCCGCCGACTTCATATTACCTGTCCCGACATATGAAGCGCTCCGATTGGTCGAGCTGTGGGTGTGTCCCGATTGCCCAACGGCCAATGGAAGGGGAGTCGAGGTTGGCGTGGTCAAGTGGGTGCGCTTGGGGGTTCGGAGATCACCGTCCGCTCAGACGGGTCCCACGTGGTATTGGACCTACTCGTCCCACGCTACCTGCCGTTCGACCGTGGTGTATCGATATGTAACTTCTTGGAGGAGTATATCAGTTTGCTTCAACTGCTGCGCCGGAAAAATATAATAGGCGACGTTTCGTGCAATTCCCCTTCTTCACAGCACATGGGAGCGGCCAGAAATGGTGGGATGAATAGATGCACCACCTGTGCTACCTTGACATGACGCGCGCACACACACACCAACACGTTCACGCCCACTCTCTACATAAAAGTCTTTATTCTCACCGCCGTTAAATGCACAGCAGCAGGAGTAACAATATTATTAATCTGAATGGGGTTTAAGCCGAGCACGATGCGCAGTAGCCGAATGTCATTTCGAGTGGCATGCGTCAGCGACGACAATCGAGACCCCCAGCTTCAGCGGACACTTCCGACGCGGCCTATGATCTAGCGTAGCGCAATCGTCACTTGCATCCTTTCTCCACTGGCACATCCAAGCCGAGCCTGACGCCAAGCCCTCGCTGTACACGGGTGGTTGTCCACTGGCTATTTGCCGAGCAGAGCCAGAATGAAAACCGTAATACGCAGACCTCACAAGACGACTGAAGCTGGCTCAGGGGGCCAAGCAGGGCCAGGGGCAGCGGGCATAATAATGCGTTTGTGCGTGCGGTGTCAGTACGCCGTGAAGGACATGTTGTCGCCGCATCATCTACACGCGTCTCGACTCTACTCATTCGTTGGCGGGCACGTCGGCGGCACGGCTCGGCTCCAGCAGTTGAAAATAAAAACCTGGCGCCTTCTGAGCCGCGCCAGACTTGTTTGGTACAGCCTCGGCGCGGCTCACTTATGCAGTGGAAAAAGAGTAAGCAACCGCACTCCGCCCCCCCTTAACCTCCGACCTCTAAACCTTGGCAGGCTTGCCCTTCTTGTTACGGAATTGTTTGGGAGAAAGGAACTTGCCGGGCCCAGGGCTTGCCCCGGCTTTTTTGATCGGCGTTGCCGACTTCCCACCAAATTTACCTCCGGCCTTAACGCCGCCGGGCTTGCCGGGCTTGCCGGTCGCCTTCCCTGTGACCCTGAACGCAGCCTTACCTACCTGAGGTATCCTAGTGGCACTGCCTGCAACCTTTACCGTGGTTTTTCCCACGGCCTTCCCCTTATTATTAGCATTGCCGATGTGTCCTGCAAGCTTGCTGGCGGTCGGCCGTTGAGCGGACTGTCCTCTCGGCTGCCCTCTCTGCTGCCCCGCAGTCTGCCCTTTGTGCCCCCGTCCTGGTCCTGACTGCTGCTGCTGTTTCGGTGGTTGTTTTGGGCCGGGTCGGTTGTCCGTCCCGCCATTGAGACGTCTTCTCTTGTTCATGTGATTCGTCTTTGCCGAGTGGATGCCATTTTTGGCGGCGGCAGCGGCCGTGGTAGCGGCCTTCTTCGATGCCTCAGCAGGGTCGGGCCCCGAGCCAACCTCCTCGTCGTCATCCTGCTCGTCCAGGAAGAGCTCCACATCACGGGCATCTGAAATGATAGTGGAGGAATGGGCAGTGCATGGGCAGTAGCCCAGTAAACATGGAACGTCGGGCCAACGTTGATCCAACAGTGCCAAACACACGCCAACATTGGCTGTGGCTGGCGTTTGCCACGCGCGTGCGCGCAGCGTTATCATCGCGTGCCGGTTGTTGACGGTGGAAGTGAGTGCGTGTGGTGGGCGGGTTTTTTATATATGGCAGTTGTGTCAACGTTACTTCGTGGCCACCCCTCCGTGTAGTGCCCATGAGGGGGCCCCCACCTGTGGCGGATTTGGGAATGTCATTGGAGAGTTTCTTGAACTTGGACACGAAGAAGCCGTCCATGTTGTGCGTGTGCGGGTAGAAGCGCCGCGTCAGCTTCAGCGACGGGTGGAAGCGGCGCTCCTTGAAGCTGCGTGCGCGCGCAGATGCGTACATAGTGATGAGTCACGCGCACACACGTACAAAAGCGCACATGCTACGCATTGAGACACGCGTGACGAAACACATAAGCGGACACGAAACGAATCACGCGATCGGACACTACGTACCGCGTGAATCCCTCCTTGCCGAAGTCGAGGCCCGTGGGCACGAGCTTCACGTTGCGCTTGCGCAGCGCGTAGTCCACCACCCACTCGTTCTCCTCCACCTACTCGCCCCACCAAAGACAAAGATCCCCCATATGGCCTTTAATAGACTGTTGAGGCAAGTGCTGTCCGCGAGCACCTATGCAGGCCGGAACAGCGCACGAGGTGGTGGACGGCCAGCGCCACGCCCAGCCGCCTTTGTCTCCCTAGGGGTGATATTTATTTAGGCACTGCACCAGGTACTCATTTGAAACGGAGTCGACGTCGGGGAGGCCTACGGCCGGTTCAGATAATTATTACTGGTGTTGGACATAAGCTGGAATCGAACTCGGGTTGCCGGGTTCATAGCACAGCACGTTAACCACTACACTACCACTCGCCCCACTGCACACACAAGTCCATCAGCGTGAGGCAACGGTGCGGCATGCCTTGCGTGCGTGGCGCTGCTGCGTGTGGTGCGAGCATTGTCTCTCACCGTGACGGAGCAGGTGCAGTAGACGAGGAACCCCCCCGTGGTGGATGCTGCGTCCAGGCAGTCGATGGCCGTGAGCAGCAGCTGCTTCTGCAGGTGAGCGCAGCGCAGGATGTCCTTCTCATCCTGCGCGACCGGCACATGGGGAGACACGGGGGGGTGGAGACACGGACAGACACGCGGAGAGACATGGACAGACACGCGGAGAGACACGGACAGAGATGTGGGGAGACACAGGGAGACAGACAGAGAAGTGGGGAGACACGCATGGAAGACAAGCAATTTAGACTGTTGGACACGGCACATAATGGGGTGGGCGGCCAGCACCACGCCCACATGCACTCAAAAAACGTAAAAAGCCAGGCGTGCATGCTCGCACACACACGCACGCACCTTGCTGGTCTTGACGGATGGGTCCTTGGAGATGATGCCGGTGCCGCTGCAGGGAGCATCGAGCAGCACGCGGTCAAACCCGGACATCACCTGTACCACACCACGGGGGACGTATAGTGCAGGGTGTCACGTGACTGGCATGGAGGGGCACGCCCTGTAAAATGTTTTCCCCCTGCCCCCCCCGACCCATCCCCTGCCGCACCCGCCCCCCCCCCTCCGAGGTCCCACCTTGGCGAGGGCCCGGCCGTCGTAGTTGCACACGATGGAGTTGGTGACGCCGAGGCGGTGCAGGTTCCCCACCACGCTCTTGAGCCGCTCCGAGTTCACGTCGTTGGCCATGATCGCCCCCGTGTTCCTCATCAGCTGGGCTATGGGGGGTGGGGTGTAGGGGTGAACAGGGGTAGGAGTAGGGGTGCGACTTATTAGGCGAGAGTCGCAGTCCAAGCGGCTGGGCCCAGAGGCAGTTCGGATTCAAACGCGACGCTCTACAAACGGGACGGGTGACGCTTTGAGACTGTACCGAGGGCACTTTAGCACCATCTAGTGGCTGCACGTGTCAGCTGACCCGACTGGACGCACGCACGAACGAACGGAGCGACGGTTCGTGAGTGCGTCATTAACGCCAGCGCAGGGAACGCGCGGTCCTCTTGGCGAGCCCCTGCTGACCAGCCCCGGTGACGTGCGGTCAGAACAACCCCCTTGGCCAGGGCTCGTGAGGTTTTATTGAACAAACAGAAATTGACCGCCGGAGCGCCCCGGTCAGCGCGACCCGAGCGGCACGACCTCGCAATAGCCCTGACGGACGCACCTCCTCTTCCTCCCCCACCCCCCGACCTCCCCACCCCCCACCCTCCCCCACTCTCCCTACCCGCGTACGAGGTCTTTCCGCCGGGTGCGGCGCACATGTCCAGCAGCTTCTCGTTCTCCTGCGGCGCGAGCGCCATGACGGGCAGCAGGCTGGAGGCGCCCTGTAGCATGTAGTGCCCGGCGAGGTACTCCGGGGTGGCGCCTGCACGCCCGCAAATCAAACACAAAGGTGACTCCGATAGCCCCGGCAGGCCGTCGGGGCAAGTGCCGCAAGTGAGCGGCTACGCGGGCCGGCACGGCGCTTCACGGGGGGGGGGGTGGCCAGCAACACGCCGGGCCGCCTTTGTCTCCCCAGTGGCGATATTTACACGTCGCAACCAGGTAAGTAATTCGAGGACGAGTTGACCTAGGGTAAAGATATTCGTCACTGGTGTTGGTGGCCATGAGCGGGAATCAAATTCGAGTAGCTGCGTTCGTAGCGCAGCGTGCTAACCGCTGCACCACTGTTTAACCGATCAAAACGCACGCACGTCCACAAGCGTGCACATGGACACACGTACACGCGCACACAAGTACCGGGCACTTGCACCGGACGTGGTGGTAGTGGCTATGCGACGCCTGTGATCCTGCGCTTCGGCGGCAAAGGGTGGTGGATTGCACAGAATTCTGTGAAAACGAACCTCCCCAAGCTAGCTGGACCGCACGGTGCAGTAGCCGGCAATCGGAAGGACAGCAGCAAGTGGGTTCGTGATTGTGCGTCGAATCGATTGCGACAATTTTCCGGTCGGGAACAAAGTCGCTCTGTATTTTCGCTCGAGCCGCGTGCAACTTCCCCCCCCACCCCACCGTGGCCAACGGAGACACGCGGGCAACGGCGCACAGCCACGTTGCACGCACAGCGCCCTCCCCCCACCCCCCCCTCAGGTTAAACTCGGGGCTGCGAGAGCCACGGGGCGAGGCTCACCGACGGGCACCGACGAGTCGAAGATGACGAGGCCGACCTTCGACCACTTTCCCAGGGGGTCGAGGTTCACGCCCCGGTTAATGAGAGCCTGGGGGGGGAGGAGAGAGGGGGAGCGAGTGAGCGACACCGAAAACGGTGCGACGCAGGTGAACGCGAGGCCGAGCATTGCGCCGCGCGGGAGTGTGCCAGGTCGCACGCGCGTTGTGTTCCACGGGAAGGCGATGCGGCTCGCGCACGCTCGCGCACACCGCGCACGCTCGCGCACACCGCGCGCGTCTCCTTGCGTGTCCGTACCTGAGCCAACTCTCTGCGCCGCGTCTTCAGCGTGTTTGTTCGGATCGTCACGGGCCGGTGCACCTCGTTCGCCTCCAGGAACTCGATGAGCTGAGGGCGACGACAAAAAAAAATCGTGATGAGGTGAGCGGCGCGCAGACGTCTCGCGTCCACCTCGTAAGGAATTATAATTTGATAATCATTTCATGTGCTGAATTCAAATATGACAATTAAAACAACTGATTGGCTACTGTTCCCAAGACATAAGTTTTTAAATTTTACGTCTATGTATTGTGTAGATAGTAGAGTTTTACTCATAAATTGTAAGGCTAGGTCTTTTAATGTGTTCATGGTTGCTTTACATGATAACATGTCACCTGTCCTGTTCAAGTAACACTTAAAAAATCCGCAAAAGGGTAATAGAAATACAATATATTACGATACAAAAGGCAAAACACTATGTATATATAAGTACATAGTTTAGTCCTTATTCAGGGTCTACTCGGCGCTGCTTGGCTTGTCTCTCGTATTCATTAAATGAAGCATCTCTTGTCACTGTCCAGCAATAGTCTGCAAGCATTGATGGGCTCCATTTGCCCTGATAGCGCTTCTCCATTGTTGCAATGTGCTGGGTGACATCGCTCGCCACGCTCGTCGCTCACCGCTCTGCATTTTGGCGGGGAAAAAATATAAATGAGTGCAATTTTTTTTTAAATCTTTAGTGACATGTTGCAACCAAGGCTTTTGTACGCCTTGAGGAGGTTTTCCACCAACTCCCAGTAGTTGCCTGCCTTGTTGTTTCCGTGAAAATGTGTTGCCACTAGCTGGAAGGCTTTCCATGCCGTCTTTTCTTTGCCACGCAGTGCACTGTCAAATGCATCACCTCGAAGAAGTTCACGAGTCTGAGGACCAACAAAGACACCTTCCTTGATCTTAGCTTCACTTAACCTTGGACATTTTCCACGGAGGTACTTGAAAGCTGCTTGTGTTTTGTCCATGGCTTTGACAAAGTTCTTCATCAGACCCAGCTTGATGTATAAGGGTGGTAACAAAATCTTCCTTGAGTCAGCAAGTGGTGGATGCTCAACACTTTTCCCCCCAGGCTCCAATGACTGTCGGAGTGGCCAAGCTATCTTGATGTAGTGGGAATCTCTCGCACGACTATCCCATTCGCAGAGAGAACAGCAGCAGTACTTTGTGTATCCAGTCTGCAGACCAAGCAAGAGATCAACAACCTTCAAATCGCCACAAAGCTGCCACTGATGTTGGTCATAGTTTATGCACCTCAAATGTTGTTTTATGTTGTCATAGGTTTCCTTCATATGGACTGCATGACCAACTGGAATTGATGGCAAAACATTTCCATTATGCTGCAAAACAGCTTTAAGACTCATCTTCGATGAATCAATGAACAGCCTCCACTCATCTGGATCATGAACGATGTTGAGTGCTGCCATCACACCATCGATGTTGTTGCAGGCTACAAGATCACCTTCCATGAAGAAGAATGGGACAAGATCCTTTAAACGATCACGGAACATGGCAACCCTAAAATCACCTGCCAAGAGATTCCACTGCTGCAGTCTGGAGCCCAACATCTCTGCCTTACTCTTGGGTAGTTCCAAATCCATGACAAGGTCTTTCAGTTCACCTTGTTATAATGTGTGGTTCAGAGGAGGATGGGAGAAAATCTGGGTCATGTGACCTTGATGGTTCAGGACCAGAAGTTTCATTCTCTTCCTCGTCTGACTCAAGTGAGAATGATTCTGGTGCATCAGGAACCGGGAGTCCTTCTCCGTGGGGTACTGGGCGTAGAGCTGATGGGATGTTTGGATAATGCACAGTCCACTTTTTTTTCTTTGACACCTTTCCCAACTGGAGGCACCATGCAGAAGTAACAATTGCTGATATGATCTGTTGGCTCTCTCCAAATCATTGGAACTGCAAAAGGCATACATTTAATTTTCCTGTTCAACCACTGGCGAATATGTTTTTTGCACAAGTGTTGCAGCATATGTGTGGGGCCCACATCTTGTCCTGATCTCCAATTGTGTGGCCAAAATAAAAGTGATAGGCTTTTTTAACCATAGTGGTTAGACTGCTCTTGTGATGCAAAAGTCACCTCACCAAACATGGCAGAAGTTATCTGCTTTGTTTTCGGAAATACGAGGCATCTCTCTGCTCACTTTGGCTAAACAGAAATGTGTCCCTTGGCAAAATCAAACACTAACAAATAAGAAAGCACAACACTGTATGATTTCTAGAGCTGATTCTAGAGCTGATTTGTTCAGCAGAGGAATGTAAGCCTAGTTATGATTATATCATCCATGACTTCTAGGAAACAGGTCCCTGCAGGGTGGGCTGGTAGGAACATTGGAATTTTGCGCAATTTTATTTTTACACCCCAACAGCACGAGATTTCACTTCGTTAAAGTATTGAAAGGGGACGGACGGACGGACGGACACATTAATCTATTGCAGGCTGGTACACTCAGTTTACAACTTCGTTCCTACCAGTATAACATCATGCAATTCATATCATGTATGACACAATACCAGGTTCAGATTGCATCATTCATTGTTTTGCTCAAAAAGCAAAAACTGTCCAAACCCAGTCATATATTTATTCAGAGATCCAGTCAAATATGTATTTTAGTCATTTCTGGTTTAAATTGAGATCGCTTCCCTTTATAACTCACTTATCCTCCGCCATTCCCAAGTCAAGGTTCGTATATACTGACCCAGTAGCAAATCATTAAAACTAGAGCCAATCAACAATTTTAAGCATAATTTTCATTCTCAGTGACCCAGAATTAGTAAAGTTGGACTACATTTAATTCGGAAGCATTTTGGCTGTAGACCAGCGCTAACGAACGTTTACAAGTTTGGGAGGAAACCGGAACACCTGGAGAAAAACCATGCATGAGAGGGTGGGGGACACACACCATCCCGTGCAGGTGGAACAGGCAGAATCCACATTTGCTGTACCGCCTTCTCCTGGCGAGCCAGGGTAACGGCTCGTCCTCGACGCCGCCCAAGGGAATGGGGTTTCACAGCTACATCTGTGTGTGCGGTGCAATCCACCAACCCTCGCTGCTGCCACCTCCACAGCGCTGGATCACCACAGACAGCCACCACCACCGCCCGGCATCGCACAAGTAGATCCTAAACACGACGTCAACGTCGCATCAACAACGTCGCATCAACAACGTCGCACACCTCGGAGAGGGGGAAGAGTCCGCTGAGGAGGCTCATGAGGAAGTCGTTGTAGCTGTAGTACATGGCGAGGTCACGCTTCAGTAGCTCCAGGTACTCCTCCCGGGTCCTGCCACGCACACGCGTCACAAAGACAAAGATCACCCATGTAGCCTTTAAACAGACTGAAGGGGCAAGTGCTGTTGGTGAGCACCATTCCCCCCCAGTGCCGATGTAAATTATACAGCACGGCAGGTACTCACTTAAGGTCGAGTCAACCTAAAGGAGGAGGCTCAAGACCGGTTCAGATATTTGCCGTTACCATCATTGGTCGAGAGCGGGGATCGGAACTCGGGTTGCCGGGTTTGTGTCGCAGTGCAGCGCGAACCGCCGCGCCACCGCTCCCCACAATGAGCCCGCACCCCCGATTTGCATGGTAGGCTACGTGCGGTGCCAAATAAGTTCAACACCTATACATAGATACGTACACACGCGTAACCCCAAACACGCCGGCGCGGCTCACCTGCCCGGCTCGCGCCGGTTCGTGAAGTCTCCCAGCACCGCCAGGTTGTCCTGCATCCGCTGGTGGATGATCTGCAGGTCGGGCGGCTGAACGGGTGCGGCGCCAGCGTCAAGGAGAGAACCGCAAAACTCCCACCGCCGCGCCAACGACGACGCTCAACACGACCGTGGTACACGCGTGACAACAGCCCTCTAGTCTATCCACAACTGGGTGAAGGCCTACTCCAGCCTTCTAGTCGGTCCACTACTGACTGGATGAAGGCCTACTCCAGCCTTCTAGTTGGTCCACTACTGACTGGATGAAGGCCTACTCCAGCCCTCTAGGCTGTCCACTATTGACTGGGTGAAGGCCTACCCCAGCCCTCTAGTCGGTCCACTACTGACTGGGTGAAGGCCTACCCCAGCCCTCTAGTCGGTCCACTACTGACTGGGTGAAGGCCTACTTCAGCCCTCTAGTCAGTCCACTACTGTGGGTGGGTGAAGGAACGCAGTGGCCGAGCACCGGTTCGTTCGAACGTCAACTCGTCCACCGATGGTAGCCGTGGACGGAAACCGTGTGTTAGTTCGGTCGTGTGATTCACGGCACCCCGATGCGTTTTCACGTTGCGTACAATAGCCCCTCGTGGTGGCTGGGTACAATCGCCCCTCGTGGTGGCTGGGAAAAGGAAATGGCAGATGGCGGGAGAATGAAATCCGATCGACGAAGCTCTGAGCCTGGACTTCAAAAGGGGCAGGTAGCCGACAGGACGAACGGCTGGGGGAAGCGCTTTTGAGCGAGCGGCGGGTGCGTGTGCGTAAAGGATATCTTCCTTCTCAATCTCCTGTCCGCTGGGCAGCACAAAGTGCTCGCTCTCCACGATGTTGGTCTGCAGGTCGTCGTCCTCCTCCTGCAGGAGCTTCCTGCACGCGGCACGGACCACGAGCATCGTCCCCACATTGAACACTGATCATGGGAATGGCTGCCATGTTTACCCACCAAACTGACGGGCAGATGAAAAACATCACTTTTTACCTTTTAAGGGAACTCCCCCCCACCCCCCCCCCCCCGGCCTTAGGCCCCCAGGTGCAGCTTCACCCCCTTTTCCACCCCTTCCCCCGCACTTCTGATTAGCACGTTTGGCTACGTACGGTGCGAAAGAAGTTCCACATACATACATACACACACCCCGCCCACACCTCCTCTCGTCAACACTGCCCAACTGCCCAGCCCCCCCCCCCCCCACCATGTCTCGCCCTCGCCACCCCCTGTGCCGCCACCTATCTCCCTCCACCAGCCCAGTGATGTCACAAGAGGGGCAGGACTCACTTGGCCTGCTCCATTCGACTTCTCTGCTTCTTCGCAGCCTTCTCGATTGGCAGGAGCTGAGGACACAGGGAGAGAGGTCATGACCCCAGCGAAAACAGAACCACCACTCCACAGTTCTAACTGTGACCACACACTCACCCACACTCGACCTCTAACCCCATCACTCAACCACACCCGACCTCTAACCCCATCACTCACCCACACCCGACCTCTAACCCCATCACTCAACCACACCCGACCTCTAACCCCATCACTCACCACACACCGACCTCTAACCCCATCACTCAACCACACCCGACCTCTAACCCCATCACACTTACCTGACCTCTAACCCCATCACTTACCCAAACCTGACCTCTAACCCCCATCACACTCCCCCACACGTGACCTCTAACCCTATCACACACTCACACCCGGCCTCTAACCGCAACTATACTCACCCACCCAAATACACTCATCCGTCTCACCACACTACGACCCTTGGACCAAGAGATGTGCAGATACAAACCTCATCATCACCATCTTCGTCACCTTCCCGCTCATCGTCTTCATCATCATCGTCGTCATCATCGGAGCCGTCAAAATCAGCGCACAGCCCCTCGTCCACATTCTCCAGGTCGGACTACGGAAACATTTTAAGAGGCACGCGGCAAATTAACAAAAAAATAGAAGAAAAACCATGCACACGCATGGATCCTCAAGCGCTTTCCATTATTTAAAAAGAGCAATGGCCCTTCTTCATATCACATGACGGATGGACGTACAGAGCAAACGCATAAACACTCTAAACTTTGCATTGAATATTAACAGCCGTCACAAACAGGACGTGTGATGCACAGGTGCAGCAGTGGCAGCAGCGCCAGCGGAACGGTTGCCCCGCTTTACCCACGCCAGCCCAGGCGGTTCGCGCGGCTCCCACCCACCTCCTCATCATCGTCGTCATCGTCGTCATCATCGAGCCGCTTGCGCTTGGCGGGCGTGAGCCACGCGGCGTTCTCGTCGCTGTATATCTTGGTCCTCTTCACCTCCAGGATGGCGTCTGTGGGGGTGGGGGGGGGGCAGCGGCGCTGAAGAACGTGCGACACTCGTGCTTTGTGCCGTGTCGCTCACCGTTTCACGGAGTCGTTCACTACCACCACCACCACCTCGCCGTGTCGCTCACCGTCTCACCGAGTCATCGTATCATCCATAACCTCACGTCACCCTTGACTTCATCACATTGCCCGCCACTCGGCCTGCGACCTCATTGCCCGCCACTCTGACTGGGACTTCATCGGTTTATCATCAACCACCCCATCGTGCAATTCGCCACCTCTTCTCATCTCACTCCCCCCCACCCTCCCACCAATCACAACCTCATTACCCTCATCATCGCGCCACTACACCAAGGCACCAGCGCCACCTTCACCGCAGTGCGTACCGTCTGCCGAGTCAGCCCCCGACAACTCCTCATCGTCGGACCCAGCCGCGCCATCGCCCGTGGAGTCGTCGTCCTCCTCATCTTGGGTCACTGGTGGAAAGAGGAAGAGAGAGGGAGAGAGAGGGGAGGAGAAAGGAGAAGAGAAAGGAGAGGAGAGCCGGGCTCCATTAACTGGAGCCGAGTCATTCCCAACGATGCGAGTGCGGTCAGGCGTGTTGGATGGTTACGAGCGTTATCACGCCCTTGCGATGAAGATTACTCAGGGAGCTGCCCTTTTTCATAGCAAATGAGCATGGGTACAGAAGCCACCGCCTCGGGGGGGGGGGGGGGATTTCTCCAGATCCAAGAAAATCGTGGCGGTGAGATCCGGGGTGGCAGTCCGGGGCCCGTGGGGTCCCACTCAGGCGCGTTGTTCTCGCTATATGTCAATGACTTGGGCACTGACCTGGATCATTCCAGGGTAAATCTTTTTGCAGATGACATGATACTGATTACTGCTGGCTGCTCTCCGGATGACGTGATTGCTAAGCTACAGGGTGATTTCAACAAACTACAACATCAGCTAGTTGCTCTTAAACTAGTCCTGAATACCTCCAAAACCAAGGTGCTATGCTTCTCACCAGGACTAAAGCAGGAAGTTTTTTTTCCCCAATTACATTCCTTAAATAATTATCAAATAGAGCAAGTAAAGATCTATAAGTATCTTGGGGTCATCCTGGATTCAAAACTGAATTTTGAAGATCACATTGATTATATTGGTAAAAAGACAAAAATAAAAATTGGTTTTCTGTATCGACACTGCTTCCCCCCAATGTTCCGTTTGGAATTGATAAAACCTACCATACTGCCTCTACTTGACTACTGTGACATCTTCTTAGCTCTTTTGGTAAAGTCACGTTGAAGGGAAAAAATAAAACAATAAATTATATATAATTAAATTATATACAATTTATGTATTTATTGTTTTATTGGTTCCCTTCAACGTGACTTTACCGAAAGAGCTAAGAATATGAATTATTGCAGTCACGAAAGCTTTAAATCAAAATTTACTGTGCCATAGCAGCCAGCTATGGCTCTAGGGTTTGGTGTTACATGTTGTTTGTCGTTTATTGTGAAAATTTGGTCAGTTCCTATGATCACTGTTACATTGCTTTTATGGCTTTATTTTGATGTCGAAAACTTTTTGGTTTGGCCATGTTTGTTTGTTGTAGTACAGAGTAAGACTGATGGCCTTAATCTAAGTTTTCTTGTGGTTGTTGTTGTTTGACTTTCATCCCACTGGGATTTTTGCACACAGCGTTGGTGTATGGTGCTTTTTCAGGAATATTTTGCTGTTTTTTCCTGGATTTTCTGTTTGCACAGTCACATAGTTACTTTAAGATGTTTTCTTGTTCATGTTTTTTGTTTGTTGCGGTTGCACCCGATTCAAGAGCCGAATGGCTCACAGGGCTATACCAAATAAATGAAACTGAAAAATGAAATGAAAAATGAAACACTCACCTCCAACACTCAGCAGCTGCTTCTTGGGTTTGGAAAATCCAGATTTGTTTTCAACCTTTTTGACCTCCTTGGAAAAACGCTTTGCAGCTCTAAACAAAAGAACGAGACAAAAGATGCCCCCGTATAGCATTAACAGACTGTAGGGCCAAATAATGTTGATGAACACCTATGAAGGTCGTCACGGTACACGGGAGGGTGGGTGGTCAAAACCACACACACAGGTATACTCAGAGGTACACAAACACGCACACACACACGTACACGCAGACACGTTTAAACAGGACTCATAATTGAGTTTTGGGTCAGACCGCCACGTGAGAAAAATGCCATTGTGTGTCGTACAACCTCCTCCACCCGACAGGGCCAAACAATCGAGTGCTGATTTAGTCCTGCTGCATGTGGCATGTCGATGTGCTGGGAGAGCAATCGCCAGACATTTACATTGAAAGACGGGAAGTGGAACGCGTGGAGTGGAGGTGCCGATTGGATGTGTGGCTATCGCAGGACCCGTGAGATGGCAACGAAATGGGGAGGGAGGAGGACTTCATCAGGCAGCAGACAGAACTTTTACAAGGGAGACCGTGTGATGTGCGCGCCTCACCTCTTCCGCCCGTGACTTGAGAGCTTCACCCCCACACCTGCAAGCAGAGGACAGCGTTACCCACAATCCACCAGTTTCTCACGCCGCCGAGTTACCACACTGTGCGATCGCCCTCTGGCTTCCCAATTTTCGCTTCCGCTCCAATTCAGCGCCACTCGTTTTGAGTTCAATTTGCTGGAGTGGAGATCACATTATCATTGTGTGCGACATAAGTGGCAAAGCTCTGTTTTGGCAATGGAAAAAAACCTGGCACCTCCTGAGCTGCTGAATAAGACTGACTTGGGACGGCCCCAACACGGTTCAGTTATACAGAGAAAGAGATATCAATGCTTACCCTAATGAGCTATTCATATGGCGGCCTCTACATCAGTGGCACGGCTCTATCGTCCAGAAATTGGAACAAGACTTTTGTCTGTGGTGGAATAAATCGGGCCCCTTAAAAAAACAGCGGAAACCCCCTCACCCATCCTGCCTTCCGAAGGTGGGAAACCCTCTGCAAGCCACAACCATCGTGAAGCGGCTTGACAACGCTATCAGGTGACCAAAAGCCCTGCCCGGCACCTCCCGTCCAGCGGCACGTGTGCAAAGGTTATAAAATTTTGCCCAAATATTGTTTTTTTGTTAGTCGAGTAATCTAAGTGATCGTAATTGAGAAATTGTAAATCCCAGCCCTACACATTTTATATACACAATACTACAATTTGAACCAGGCTCGCCAGACCACGGGAACAGGGGGGGGGGGGGACACGGAGTGGAGAGGTCGCCCATGGGAGTCGGGAGATATTGGAACACCTACATATGGGGGGGAGTCATGCAGACTCGGTATCGGTGGGTTCCCATGGGACGTGGCCACGCGGGGTCACTTACTACAGCAAAGACGAGTCACACGGGCACGACGAGACACTGGGAAACGTGCAACACGTGGGGCCGAGACCACGGCCCACCGTGGCCACGGGACAACGTGGAGCCAGAGTGGCCTCTCGGCTCCCCTCGTCCGCTACAAATGAGGCCGCATTATCCGTCCCGTACGAGAGCCGTCCCAGCGACAGAGCGCGGGGCCTGGGGCCACCACCTCGTCTGCGTCCACCCCGCGACGTTTCTCACCCAGGTCCTTGCGCAGGGCCCAAGCCACCTCGGTCTCCGCTCCGCGTTGCTTCTTGCTCTTTCTCCCGGGGCCCTTGAGGACCCTCTTGCTGGGGTCGAGACGTCTGCCCATGGCTCCTTAGATGTTGGTCGGACAGGGGGTGTTGGGAAGGAGGGAAGGGGGGTCGTTGGGTGGGGGGCAGCAGCAGCAGCGGCGGCAGCAGCGGCAGCCACGGGGCAGCAGGAGCGAGGGGCAGCAGCAGCAGGAGGGGGACACGTGGAACCACAATTCCTCGCGCGTCTCCCGCTTCCGGATGACGTTGCTGCGTGCGCAGCTCTCGCTATGCAGTAACGAAGGCCCCCCACCCCCCACAGCGTATTAACGCACACGTGTGTGTATATGTATGTGAAGAGGAACAATGTGTACGAGAAGACGACGTTTCGGGTAATGGCCCGTCTTCGTGGCACGTAAATCAGACGTGGCCGTTTCAGCGAAACGTCGCCTTCGCAGCAGCATCACCACCACCACAATCGCATTTATCTGCATAATAAAGGCGTTTGCGTCAATTAAAAAGTGATTTGGTTTCTGACGCCCCCTTAAGCATAATACAAATGCACTTTTGTTTAAAATTTCTAAATACTCCGTACAATAAAAAATTGTAGCGGCTTCCAGTGGCTGGTGTGTGAGGACCAATTTTAAGCATTTCGCATGCAATACATGGGGCTTGGTATCGCTGTGCACGAGACGATAAGAACCACGGCTGCAGCCTCCTCAACATCGTCGCCAGGGCCTAGAGCTTTGTCGTATCGATCGCGACTAATTGATGAAGATTATTATTATATAAATGTGGGGAGGATGTGGCTGGTGGTGGTGGGAGGTTCATGAGACCGGAAGAAGTGAAGGTTCGAGACCGCCTCCCCCCACGTGGTCCACGACCCCCCTCCAATGTGCTCCACGACACCGAGGTGGTCCCCGGCTCAAATCACCTCCGCGGCGTCTCTTCCCGAGCCGCAGGCTCCTCGCTGACAAATATAAAACCAAAGAGAGAGAGACGGGAGAAGAGAGAAAGTCGTTACAAGTCCGTGTGGTTTCGCTCGCCATGGCGTTGTACGTGGAGGCGATGTCCGTGCTGGAGCGAGCCGAGAGGAAGGAGGGCTCTCTCAAGAGCCTCGTCTACCGGAGCAGCTTCAAGGTAGACCGAGTGGGGGGCACGACCACCCCCCCATACTCTCACCTGAACGCCTATCACCTTGTTAGGGGGTGTAACTTGGATTCTCTGTGCGAGTCGTTGAGAGAGAGGCCCAAATTCGAAAACTAAAATTAAACTACAGGGTGCTTAAAACATGGTAAAACTCATATGGGACTTTCGTTTTAGATGGGAAAAAAATAAAGGGATAATACACCCTAACGTGATAACAAATGTAATGTTAACAGCTTCAAAGAGTCTCCACTCGTTCGCCATCATTGGCACATTCCCCGTTGTATTGTTGCAAATTCTCCGGAGTGTTAACATTTTTTTGAGTCGCCCTGTATTTCATTTCACCAGCTAAGACCCACTGAGCTACAAAGCTCGAGCCGGCTATCACAAATGATAGCTCAACCAAGCGGCTTATCATCATCATCACGTGGAAATGTATAGCAGACACATTACTCCAAACTTCGTGATGTTGATTCTAAACGCGGAGTGGAACCAAAACCCGAGGATCCGGAGAAAAATCCACGCGACCACGTGGAAAGAGACGCCGCAAACTCCAATTAAACAACATGCGCCAGGGTCGGGGATCGAACCCATGTCCCTCCTGTACCCCAGGCGAGGTCGTTAACATCTACGAGCCACCGTGGCGCACTTACAATAATAACCCAGTAAACATGCCAACGTTGGGACCTTTGGGCAGGAAGGAAGTCCACGCCACTGGAAGTTATGGATCATGGTGGCCCCTGCTCGAGACTTAACCCACGGTGTTAGCGGCGGTCGTGGAGAAGCGAACAGCTCCGGCGTACGACCGTGGAGACGGAGCGATGAGGTCGGAGCGAGCTGGATCGTTGCAGAGATGGCGATTTGGCTGAGAGGAGGGGCCTTCATCAGCAGTGCCGTGCGGGTGTTGTCTGTATGGACTCCTTGTGCGGATATCCCTGTAAGCACATGGCAGACGCAGTGTTAAGAGGACACAGTGGTATAGTTTACCATTCCTGGTTTATAACGAATGCAATTGTATACGCAAAACACTCCCTTCTGTGAAGTAACGCGCAAATTTCTATATATATTTTTTATCCAATGGCCGATTGTTTTTTTTCCAGACCAGTGTTAATCCAACAGCATGTGTTCCACACCAGAGTTATTTTGTATTACTGAGTGTCTGAAGATTTTCAACACCGAGCTGTCGGATTGCAAGGTGAAGGACGGGGGGGGGGTGACTCAGCCCATCATTCCCTCCAGGCTCGATAAACAGTACCACTTTGTGGGGGAAATCAACAGTGGATGTCCTGTGCATAAACTCTTCCCCCCCCCCATCATAGGAATGTGGAATGTCCACCACTGGCTCACGGCTGTAAGCAGGAGAGGAGTACTAATGCCTCGATGACTTAAAGTCGGCTTAACACTGACCGCGGTGTTTGCACCGTTAAGATGGGTCGTGCAACAGTGGATAGTGCATGGCAGTATTATTGGAACCGGCCGACAGAAGAACAACAAACGCAACACATTAGTCAACACACTGACTGGGGGCCTAAAGGGAAAAGTGTAAAATAGACGACGTTTCGGCAAATGGCCCTTCCTCATATCCCTATTGTCAACAACTTAATACGAGTGATGTTGAGCAACAACTATCATTTCACTTTGAGGTGCTCGATCAGCCAGATGGTTGCGTCCGGAGTAGTGGAGTGGTGCATCATCGCTGCTGTGATGATGCCTCCTCCTCTGTGTTTGTGAATCGGACCATTAAGTCGTTACACCTTCCGCTGGAGAGTTTTCGTAGTAAAATTTGTCCACATTGAGACCAGAGCGGTTAGGAGTTGGAGACAGCACCCAATATATATTTTATATATATCCATGGTGGGGGGGGTTTGATACGAATAAAATAATAAAAATGTTTCCTGATTATCAGTCTAATTTCATAACTCAGTGATGCATTCCTAGGCCAAATTCTCATTTCACTAAGATTACAGAAGTTCTCAAGGAATGCAAGGAACAGAGCTTTCAAACGGACTTGAAATATTTTTTTTTTATTCCAGCACCCTGCAAGGGGTACGGATGGATGGAGTAAGTTTTATTTAACTTCTCCGTTTATCCTTGCCGCCCCTTGACCTGACCCTCCTTCTCCCCCCCTGCCGCTCCCCTCCCCTACGACAGAACGTGAAGCAGCTGTACGCGCTGGTGTGCGGCGTGCTGCGCTACGAGCCGGTGCTGCACCAGCTGCTGGAGTCGAGCCGCCTGTTGCGCTCGGAGAAGCGGCTCGACAGGCAGCTCGCCAAGGTGGGCGGGAGGTGGGGGGGGCAGAGGGCGCAGCTCCGCAAGATCTGACCTCTCATAGGATACGAGGGACCCTAGGTGTGCCATGTCTAAGAAGGGGTGGTGGCGGGCGGTGGTGGCTACGCACATGGCCTGTAATATATTCTAGCACTGGGAAAGCAGCGAGGGTTGGCGGATCGCGAAAATGTTGCGAAACTCCCTTCCCGTGGGCATCAGGTGCCATTACCCTGGCGGTACAGCAAAGTGCGGAATAATATCTGTCCCGTCTGTATTGGATGAAGTGTTACACCCTCGTACGTGTGGGTTTACGCTGGGGTGCTCCGGTTTCCTCCACACATCCATAAACAACTCAGTTGGCTGAAACATCTTAATATATATAGCACTGCAAAGCTTGGGCATTTGCTGCTATCGCCAGCTCAATGTCTGGCTGCGGCCTTCCTGCTTCTCTGTCGTTCTTCGGTGATTGTCAGAGATGCAATTTGCATCAACGACAACGACGCCAGTACGTATAAAACCATCCCATTAAACACTATCGAGAGCCTGACGAGCGCTAATCCTTATCGTCTCTCTTCCGGTCGCTGGCGGGGCGCAGTTGCTGGTGTTTGACCTGCTGCTGGGCCACGGGGTGAAGTGCGGCGGGCGGTGGAAGGTGATGATGAAGCGCCACGCGGCGGAGCTGGGCTCGGCGCTCGCCCGCATGAAGGTCCGTCACGGCGTGAGCACCAACCTGGACCTGCTCACCGCAGTGGGGGGGCGCGCCGCCACCAAAGGTCAGTCTACTACTGCCCCCCCCACCACCCTGATTCCCTACCCTCACTTCCTCCCATACCCCCCACCCCTGCCTGTCCGCCTCCCCCTACCCTGATTCCCTTCTCCACAATGCGGTACTCGCATTTTATTGACCCCAGACAGTGGGATGATGGTGCCGAATCAATTTCCCCCTCAACCAGGCTTTGAACTCGCAGCCTTTCGAACGATTGCGAGTCTCTGGCTTCTACCGCCGGGCCCCTTTAGATCGCAATTTATATAATGCCGACTTAGCGCTGGTGGACCTACGCGGTGGTGGATGGGGATCTCTGTCTTTGCTCTCGTTCAGAGGTTCTGCTGCCGCGGTACGCGAGGGTGAACACGCTCAAGACGACGGTGGACGACGCCGTCGACTACTTCAAGAGGCAGGGCTTCACCTTCATCGGCGCAGCAGACTGGTGAGGTCGTGACGCGCACGGCCCAACGACGGTGGCCGGCTCTCTATCGGAACCGCTCCTATGTTGGCCCCCTCCCCCCCCCCACCTTCCCCCCCCCCCGACCTTCCCCCCCCCCTCACCTTCCACCGCCCCCCCCCCGACTACCTTCCCATAATCGCATCGATTGACTGGTTGCCCAAAACTTGGAGAGAAAAAAATAGCTGTGTTAAAATAATTTGTCCCAGCTCTGGTCTCTTACTCTCTGTCGCGCTCTGTCTCTCGCTGTCTGTGCGCGCAGTGCCCAAACCGTTGATGACCTCAAGGGCAAGAGGTTTGCGCGAGACATCGACGTCCCGGAGGTCCTCGTCTTTCCTCCAAAAACGGACCTCCACGACGACCAGCTCTACAAACTCGGCAACATCATCCTGCAGGACAAGGTGTGCGCTCGCTGAGCCGTCAATCACACACACGTGTGTGTGTCATACGTGTGTGTGTGTGTTCGATGGGTGACTGAGTCTCAGTTCCTCGTGGCATAGGTTGGGTGGCCGTTCAGCCCTTGCTCTGGCTCGAACTCTTAACTCGAAATATAACCCTTGGAGCCACAGTACCGAACGACTGATGGCTTCCGAGAAAGTCTGGCTGTAAGATAAGACTTGTCGTAACTTGATTACATGACGGAGACAATTAAAGCGTTGAAAAGTTAAGAGAGAACCTGGTGGTGGTCGGGCCCAATCGCTCGTCCGTCGATTGTCTCAAAGTATAAGAACGTCAACCGATAGTAATGGAACGTAAATTAGCGGCACAATTAATGTTAACAGCGAATGTAATGGACGTTAATACCGTGAGTACTCACATCGGCCGCGGACCGGATGAAGCGATGATGTCGTCCTTGCTCATGGCCCTCGACCCTCTGCCCCCCACCCATCAACCCCCCCCTTCATGCCGCAGGCGAGCTGCCTGCCGGCGTTCGTGCTGGCGCCTCCCCCAGGCAGCCAGGTGCTCGACTGCTGTGCCGCCCCCGGGAACAAGACCAGCCATCTTGCCGCCATCATGAAAAACAAGGGGTGGGTGCAGTCCGTCACGCTTCATGGTTCACGTTCTCCAACCCGCGCGCGGGTCGAATGAATAAACGCACACAATGGTAGCGTGTAGTTTTTGTTCCCTCTCAGAGGGGCGAGAAGACGAGGATTCGGAGGCACCGGCAACCGGCGACAATAATCGCCCAAGCTTTGTGGTCTTATATTGGGATCTTTGACCAACTCCATGAATGAGTGAAACTGGAGTGCCCGCCTTTTCTCTCTCCTCTCCCATCTCTCCCTTCGCCTGCCCCTCCACCTCCCTCCCGGCGTCACTCGCCCCGATCGCCCGCCTGCCCGCCCGCCCACTGCAGGAAGATCCTGGCGGTGGATCTGTCGACTGAGCGCGTCGCCACGATGAGCACACAGCTCCTGCGCGCCGGCGTCTCGTGCCACCGGTTGCAGTGCGCCGACTTCCTCGCTCTCGATCCACACGACCCGAGCTATGCCAGGGTGCAGTACGTGCTGCTGGACCCCTCGTGCAGCGGATCCGGTGAGAGCCCCACCCACCCAAAGACAAAGATAGATGGACTCAAACCCGGGACGACGGCTTCGTAGAGCAGTGCGCTAACCACTGCGTCACCGTTCCCCACGGTGACGCACACACGCACCCCCACCCGCTACGTCAACAGCAACCGCCGTATTCACGGGGGCACTCGTGCGTTCGGTCACCGCAACGCGCTGCCGACTTTCCCCTCCCGCATTAAAAACTTCTCCTAAACGGTATCCACGCCGCAGCCTGCGCGACCCACCATCCCCGCCCCCCCCTCCCCCCGTCGTCCTTTCACGGCCTGAAATCGTTGACCCCGGTGGATGAGGAATTATTCCACGGCCGGTTTGCTATCGCCCTCCATCGCGCTTGCAAACTGCGGCCATCACTTTTGTTGAGCTATCGTTTGCGATAGTCAGGTAGCTTCTCAAAAATAAGTTAATACCTCGGTGGGCTTTACCTGGTAAGATAAAAAAAAATAGTTTAGTTTCATGGGTATATTTTAAAGTGATTTGTTTACCTTTCCTATACTTTGCACTGCTATCGTGTTTTGGTACTGTTTGTTGTTGTAACGTTCTTACCCACCCCTACTGGACATCTGTTAAAAAGAGCTCTGTAGCTCGTCAGATTCCTCCTGCAGTATAACTAAATAACTGTGTGCAACCCACGGCTCTTGTTGCGCCAGGCATGGTGGGGCGGATGGGCGGAGCGGCGGACCGGGGCGGCGACAGCGGCGGCGTCGACGGCACTGGTCAGACGGCCAGCTCGCAGGAGCGCCTCCGGGCTCTGAGCGCGTTCCAGGCCCGAGCCCTGCGCCACGCTCTCGGCTTCCCGGGCGCACTCCGCGTCGTCTACTCCACATGCTCCGTGCACCAACAGGAGAACGAGGACGTGGTGCGGCAGGCGCTCGCCGACTCCGCGGGGGCCTTCAGGCACGTGTGGCTGCACTGCGCGCGCGCGCACACATCTGTGTGCGTGGGGAGCGGCGGTGCAGCGGTTAGCGCACCGCACTACGGACCCGGCGACCCGAGTTCGGTTCCCGCTCATGGCCACCAACACCAGTGACGATTATCCGAACCGGTGCTGGGCCTATCCTAGGTCGATTCTGCCTCAAATTAGTTACCCGGTGAGATGTGTAAACATCGCCACAAGGGAGACAAAGGCGGTCGGGTGTTTGTGCTGGCTATCCACCCGCTCGTGTGCCGTGTCGGCTTCCACATGTGCTCGCTAACAGCACTTGCTCCAAAAGTGTGTGAAGGCTAAACGGGGGATCTTTTGTCTTTGTGATGGTACCACACCACGCGTGTGTGTCGCCGCACAAAATACATGTGTCCAGCACACCACATCTTGTATAGCTCCCAATATGGCTGCAGTTACTACTAGTCGTATGACACATTCCGGTGTTTATAATTAAATTGAACCCGGAGGGATGGATGCGATGAGTCAACTCCTGAATCAGGATTTGAACTCTCGCAGCTGCCAGCTCTACCGCCGAGCCACCTGGCCGGATTGCGGAGTGCGGAGTGTGTGACGCTGTGGGTATCTGCGCGTGTGTGTCATGCTGCTGCGTGCAGGCTGGTGCACATCCTGCCTGAGTGGCGTCGCCGCGGTCTGCCCGTGTTCCCCGGGGCGGAGTGCTGCGTGCGCGCCGACCCGCACGAAGACCGCACGCACGGCTTCTTCGTCGCTCTGTTCGAGAGAAATGCGGGGGGCGGTGGTGGCGGTGATCTCGTCAAACCTGGAGGGTGAGCTCCTCGGTCACCTTCACCGCGAGCCCTCGCTCTGGGCCCACGTCCGTTATTACCACTTGAGGCCACAAACGTAAACTTTCGCGGTCATGCCGCGTAGCTCTCCGATGTGCTTTCGGGGTTTGCCATGTCCGACGATCCGCTCCGCGCGGTAGTAGCGTCGTCTTCAGCGGCTCAGTTCGAACTTAGTCCATGTGGTTGTGCTAACTGTGAAATACGCGTCGTCTGCTTCACTCGCAGTGGACGTCTAAGATCCCCGTGATGTCATTCGAAGTATGTCGGCCATTGTGTGCCGACGACACGGTCCAAATTTGTTACATTTAAAAAAAATGACACTGAAAATGACTGAATTGGGATTACTCATCACAGCATCGCCCCTGACTGTGAAACTACTGCGGACTGTGTGTTTAACAATAGCGTCTTTGATGAGGTTAGCCTTGCGCTATAACAGTGATAGAGCATATACCGAATGTACATAATTGTTATGATTAATTACTCATGCAAATTATCTGAAAATCTCGAAAACTGAAATATTTATATCTGAAACTCAACACGTGCCCTAATGTGCATCTCTCCCACAGGGGAGGCAACGGTGGAGATGTTGATACGGCGGTCCCCTCTCTGGAGCTGCGTCGGGACCTTGGTTGTCCTGACGGGCAGAACCAGGAGAAGGAAGAGGAGGCGAATGGAGGTGGAATGGAGACCTTGGTGAAGAGCGGTGTGACAGAAGGTGGAAAGACAAAGAAGAAAAGGAAGCGGAACAAAAATAAACGGAAGACGTGTGCGGACAGCACATGAGACGCGCGGGGGGGAGTTGGTTGAACTGGAACGAGCTGCCCTGGCATCCCAGCCCGGAGAGGACTCCTTCACCTCCAGTCCTTAAGAGCTCTCCGGTACTACAATACAGCCTCCTCTGCCACAACGCAGCCTCCCTCGCCACCACACGGTCACAACACGGCCACAACACAGCCTCATTCTACCAGGTCCCTCTGCCAGCTGTCGTGTGATGTTCTATCTCCAGTTCGTTGTGAGGATTTCGTTTTTGTGATCCGTGTGGTTCAGTCTGTTCTGCTCAAAATAAAGGTTGGTGCCGCTGGTTGGAACTGCCCTGTGCGATGTCTATCTGCTACTCGGTTGATTGCTGGGCTCATTGGCGCATATCCGGGACGTGGCGGCTATAACGGGGCCCGTAGTCCAGTACATGGAGGCGAGGGTTGGTGGTTCACGTGAAAGTCCCTGTGGACGTCGAGGAGGAGCCATAACCTGGCTCGCCAGGAGAAGGCAGTATGGCATATGCAGACTCCACCTGCTCTGTCTGTGTGGAATAATGTTGCCCCCTTGCATGAGTTTTCTCTGGGTGCTCCGGTTTCCTCTCACATGTTAATAATACTCATTAATTGCTCAATAAACACTTGCAAGATGGCGACAGCGCAACTCCAGCTGGCTGCTGACACCCCTTGCTCCCTTCCTCACCTCTCCATTCACCCTCCCCCGTTCTCATCTTCAACTCTGTTCTTATTTTTATTGTTTTCTTTATTACCGTTTTAGCGGCGCCAGTGTTTTGGGGGGTGGCAAAAACCACCCCCGACTCGCCACCCTACCCGTGCCCCCCGCACGCACTGAACGCGCTCCCCGGCGACGCAACAGCTGGCGAAGGCCGGCCGTATTCTCTCTTTTAGCAACAATTCATTAGCTTTAAGTGACTTAATGTGATGAGTTACTTTAACTGCGTGTGGTATTATCTTTGAATCTGTGCATCTTTTTAGGAATACCAGTGAAGACAACAGCTTCATTTGCTTAATTCGGAGTTTCTCCCATTTTCTGGTTTGAAGAAAAGTATCCTCCCCATAGAGGTTAGTCAATCTTGATTTGAAGCTTTCGTGACTGCAGGAATCCATACTCTGGTTCTTTTGGTAAAGTCACGTAGGTATAAAATAAAATACAAATAAATCACGACGTTTCGATTGCAACACAAGCAATCTTTTTTTTCTTGCTGTGGTTTTCCCACCTGATGATGATTGCTTGTGTTGCAATCGAAACGTGATTTATTTTATTTTATACCTACGTGACTTGACCGGAAGAACCAGAGAGTTTAGAGGTTAGTCCGTCTAACACGTAGGCTTTCGTGACCAATATCCATAATGCAGGTTTTTTGGGTTATATCGTGTAATATATAAATGTGTCATTAAACCCACCACCACCCAACACAGCCAACTAGTAAGGTTTGTCACGTAAACAGAACATGCCAATTCGTCACTAGTACAGCACACCGGTGTGTTGGAGAGCCAAGCCACAACATTTACAATCTGAGTACGACGTTTCGCCAGTAATTAAAACTAGTTTCATCAGGCGACATCCAGATTTATGGCGAAGTCCTGTTTCGTTCCTTAAATAGAGGGGGAGATGTGATAACATCACTCGTGTGCTCTTCTTCCGCGAAGTTGGGGGAGGGGAGATTAATGAATGTACAGTATATAAATTACTATTGGTACCCATTACATTATGCATGTGCATTATGCAAGCCCATTGTTTTTGTACTCCAAGTCGATTGTGTGTACTAAAATAGCCGTACCAACGGTAATCCCCATTCAAGTATGGTGACCTGTTTGTGCATACATTCAAACAATATTTTATTTGATGAATCGCTTCCAAGTCACTATCCAAAAAGTTAAATTATTTTTATAAATTGCTATAGATTCTCTAATTAGTCTTGGCCAGTAGTAAATAGATTAGCACAGAACTTCAACATTATCAAAATAAATTGAGTGTCCTTGTTGGAATGCGTGTTCTGCCACTGCTGACAGTTGTATTTGGGAGTAATTAATATTTATTTGGTGTTCTGTTAGTCTCGTGCTGATCATTCGCCTTATAACACCTTACTATATAGAGAACCACAGAGCTCAGCCTCCTTTGGGCTAATGGTGTGTTGCTGCACTCATCCGACACGATCAAGGTTGAGCCACGTGGAGTTTATCAGAGGGACATTTCAACATGTGCAGTTCTGGATACAGCCAGTGTCGTTCATAGACGTCCTTGGCAGCTGCCACCATTTGAATGGTAACCTTGCATGACTTTTAGCTGGCTCGTGGCGAGAATCACCTCCAGGAAATAACTGATACAGATGAGTTCCTTTGTGTCTAGGAGGGGGGGGGGGGGCAGGACCTAAAACACAGCAAGAGGTGGGGCCTTATCAGGAAGGCACGGGGCCTAAAGAGGAAGGGTTGGGGCCTACAGAGGTTGAACTTCCCTGTTGATTTAAGGTAATAGAAGTGTAGTGTAATAGCGCCGGCTGGTGACCAGCAGCAGCAAGTGCGGCGGACAAACATTACACACGCCGGTGAGCATATACACGGCTGTGTGTCAGCAGGGTGGAGGAACTGGGGCAAGGGTCATGGAGGGCCCCATCTGGAAGCCCCTGGAACCTGCTAGTGGGTTCGAGAAGGGAGGCGCGGCCAGGGCGGAGCCAGGCCACGCTGGTAGCATAAAAGGGGCTGAGAGTGGGAGCTCGAGGGGGCCGGTTTAGGGATTGGATCGTCTCGTCGTCGCTGCCGTCTTCACTCGACATTGCGCTGCTAGATAGCCTGTTAGCTGTCTCGGTCAGCGCCGTCGATGTTAGACAGCTCGTGTTGTGTATAGGCTAGCGATTGTTGAGTGTGCAGGCGAGATCGTGTGTGTTCAATAAAGAAGGTGCCTCTACAACCCTCGTCTCCGACTCACAGACACTACAGAAGCATCGTTATCGGTCATCAATCTTTAGATATCGCATCTCCTCCATCTGTTTTCGTCTCTCTCCTTGTCCTCAACAGGACTTTGTGTGGGTTTAGACTTTTGTCTGTTTTTGTGTGCCCTATATATTTAACCTTTCCCCCCACTTTCAACCAACTATCCATTATTAAACTTCATTCTGCTCTTAAAAATAACACCATCTGCGAGCTACTGCTATTCGTCCAAGGTTCGCCGCTCTTCATCTTTTCACAGAAACTATTAATTCTACTTTTCTTATTTCTGGGTGGTATTGAGCTTCATCCTGGCCCAACTGAAAATAACTCATAATTCTGTAGATTTTTCTGGCAGGAAAGGTGTTGGTGTTCTACATGTCAACATCAGAGGGCTTGTGATTAAATTAAGTCAACTAAAACTAGAAGTGGTAAATCTTGACCCGGACATTTTTTGCCTAACAGAAACATTTCTCACTCCTGCCTTCAATGACTTGCAGATTGCGATTGACAACTACAACCTTTTTCGGCTTGACCGAGGATCTAAAGGAGGTGGAATTGCCATCTATGTTCGTAATACTATTGCATGTTCACTAGCTCACTCCTTGTTTAAAAAATGTTGCTTTGAAGGTCTGGCTCTCAGAATAACTCTTTCAAATAATCAACAGATATTGGTAGTGTGCTGCTATAGACCACCTAGTGGGAAGGATGTTGAAGCTGCATTGGCACTGAGAGAGCTTTTTGGGGGCCTCCCTAAAGGTGAAATAGTTTTAGTGGGTTATCTAAATTGGAATTGGCTAAACCCGCCGGCCGTGGCCACAAATTTTACAGATGAATTTAATCTGTTTCAATTAATAAATGTCCCCACAAGACCCAACCTAAAAAATCCGGGACAGTCATCTCTGCTTGACATCCTATTGACAAATGCCCCTCACAATTTCACACTGACTGGTGTTCTGGGTCGTAACCTTAGTGATCACTCCTTAATTTTTGGGGTGAGATCATCAGCCAGACCCAAAGCCCCCCCTAAATTGGTTGAGAAGCACTCGATGAGACACTTCAGCACTCAGGCATTTACTAATGATGTGCTTCACTCGGATATTGACAAGGTCTGTGATATCCCCAACCTGACTACGGCTTGGGAGACCTTCAGGTACACGTTTCTCCAAATTCTTAACAAACATGCTCCGTTGGTTAGATTTAAAACTAAAGGCAACCGCCCACCATGGTTTGATCATTTGATTACAAAGCTCATGAAAACTAGGGACAAGGCTTGGGCATGTGCTCAGAAAAGTAATTTGGTCAATGACTGGCTAGAATACAGGATTTTAAGGAATAGATGCGTCAAAAAAATACGGCATGCAAAAAATGCCTACTTTTCCTCCACTCTCCTCAAATCACATGGAAATGCCAGGATTTTCTGGAAAACAATCAAATGTATCGAAAAGGCATCCAAAACAGACAATCTGCCCGTTGAGCTTAACCAAAATGGGGAATATTTTTCAGATCCCCAAAAAATAGTTGACAATTTTAACCTTAATTTTTCTGAAGCTGGTAATCTTTTTGATAATGTATTGGGAGTCACCCCTGCTCATGCAAATTCCTACACCCCTGTCCAAACATTAAACAAATTTAGTTTCCAGCCAATCCACGAAAGTAATGTTCTAAAACAACTGTCCTACCTCAAAGGGTCCTCCTCTACCGGAGCAGATAGTATTCCCGTCTTTGCTCTACAAACTGTTGGTCACCTAATATACAAACCTATAGCCCATATTTTCAACCTGTCCATCAAAGAAGCATAAGTTCCTCTAGAATGGAAACATTCCTATGTCCTTTGATTTAAAGCTTTCGTGACTGCAGTAATTCATATTCTTAGTTCTTTCGGTGAAGTCACGTTGAAGGGAAACAATCAAATATATGTTTCCCTTCAACGTGACTTTACCGAAAGAACTAAGAATATTCCTATGTCCGTCCACTTCACAAAGGGGGCCCTAAAGATGATCCAAATAACTACCGACCTATCTCAATTTTGTCCCCGTTGATGAAAATTTTTGGAAAATTATTGACCAACCAAATTAGCAGTTTCCTGTCCACCAACAATTTACTACATCTAAAACAATCTGGGTTCCGAAAAAAATACAGCACCACATCTGCTGCATTAGACTCTCTGAATCACATTTACAGTAGTCTTGCTAATAAGCAGTACTGTGCCTGTCTTTTTCTTGACCTGTCCAAAGCTTTTGATACAGTAGACCACAACACCCTGCTTAGTAAACTAAGTTGCCTCGGTTTTTCTGAAAACGCAGTAAGATGGTTACAAAATTACCTCTTTTCTCGCACCCAAACTATTCACAGATGGTTGGAGGTCAAACAGTGTTAAGATAACAAAAGGGGTTCCACAGGGTTCCATCCTCGGCCCCCTTTTGTTCTCTCTTTATGTCAATGACTTGGGCACTAACCTGGATCATTCCAGGGTAAATATTTTTGCAGATGACATGATACTGACTACTGCTGGCTGCTCTCCGGATGACGTGTTTGCTAAGCTCCAGGGTGATTTCAACAAACTACAACATCAGCTAGTTACTCTTAAACTAATCCTGATTACCTCCAAAACCAAGGTGCTATGCTTCTCACCAGGACTAAAGCAGGAAGTTATTTTTCCCCAATTACATTCCTTAAATAATGATCAAATAGAGCAAGTCAAGATCTATAAGTATCTTGGGGTCATCCTGGATTCAAAACTGAATTTTGAAGATCACATTGATTATATTGGTAAAAAGACAAAAATTAAAATTGTTTTTCTGTATCGACACAAGCACTGCTTCCCCCCAATGTTCCGTTTGGAATTGATAAAAGCTACCATACTGCCTCTACTTGACTACTGTGACATCGTGTATAAATCAGCCCCAAGTACTGTACTGAAGAAGCTTGATTCCATCTATCACTCGGCCTTAAGATTTACATTGAACTGCCCATATAGGACTCACCACTGTGATCTCTACATTGGGTCAAACTTAACATCTCTTAATGTTCGACGGCTTGTGCACCAGATCTTATATATTCACGATGTACTTACAAAAAAATCCGCAGACTACCTGCTGGATCTCCTCTCTGTTTCAAAGAACAAATTTGACCTCAGGTCTTCGCTCATTTACCAGCTTCACATTCCCTATTGCCGTACAAAAACTGAAGGGCCTTTGCTATTGATGCCCCCAGAGTCTGGAATGCTATTGCCAATAAACTGCAACTTGAAATGCTACCAATGAGATCTTCTCTCAAAACTGCTCTAGAGGAGTTGTACACCCCTAGCTGCCACTGCTATTCATTGGCGTAAAAGAAAAGAAAATTTCGATTTAAAGCTTTCGTGGCTGCAAGGATTCATCTTCTTTGGTTCTTTCGGCAAAGTCACGTAGAATGAATGTGTTATTTTATTTTATCAATTTATTATTTTATTCTCATTCTACGTGACTTTACCGAAAGAACCAAAGAAGATAAAATAAAATGTTTCGCTCCGGATGACGTTTCAAAGTATTATCTGTATTTTAATTTAGCGTGCTGATCTTAAAGGTGCATTGAAAAATTTGATACTCCGACCGATGCTTCTGTTGTGGAGTAACTCATACAGCCAGCTATGGCTCTAGGATTTGGTGTTACATGTTATTTATATAGTTTATTGTAAAAATTCAGTCACAGTCCTTGTGATCACTGTTACGTTGCAATTATGGCTTTATTTTTTGGTGATTTGGAAAAGTTTTTTGGTTTGGACATGTTTGTTTTGTTGTAGTACGGAGTAAGACTGATGGCCTTAATCTAAGTTTTTGTGGTTGTTGTTGTTGTTTGACTTACATCCCACTGGGATTTTTTGCACACAGCGTTGGTGTACGGTGATTTTTTCAGGAATATTTTTGCTGTTTTTCTTCCCATGGATTTTCTGTTTGCACTGTCACATAGTCACTTTAAGATGTTTTCTTGTTCGTGTTTTTTTTCCCTGTGGTTGCACCCGATTCAAGAGCCGAATGGCTCATAGGGTTATACCAAAATAAACTGAAACTGAAACTTGCATCCCATTGGGATTTTTTGCACACATCGTTGGTGTACGGTGCTTTTTTCAGGAATATTTTGCTGTTTTTTCATGGATTTTCTGTTTGCACAGTCACATAGTCACTTTAAGATGTTTTCTTGTTCGTGTTTTTGTTTTTTTGTTTGTTGTGGTTGCACCCGATTCAAGAGCCGAATGGCTCACAGGGCTATACAAAATAACGAAACTGAAACTGAAAACTGAAATCGTAATTCAATCTTGTCACATCAATTTAATCGACTTAAAGCACGGCATAATAAGTTTAACGCTGAAATGTCATCTTCACCAACAATGATCAGTCCACTGCTTGATGGATGCATCCCATTCCACACTCTCTCTCCCACGTCTTCCATTCCACGTGATTTCATTGCACAATCGTATAAAGGTGCACTTAATCGCTGGGAACACGTGCGATGTATCCACGGTTATTTCATTTACGAGCCACCCGCTTAGGGGTAACTTTGTTGAACTTCGGTGAGATGGCGGAGGGAGGAGAGGGGGCGGGGCGGTGGGAAGCGGAAGTACGTCACCAGCTTAAGCGGACTCCCGGCAAGCCCCGGGTGAGATTGCGAGCGTGATGGCGATGCGAACTCACGCTCAGGGGGCGACTCGAGCGGCCTTCGGCTCGCTCAGCTCGGCCGCGCCCGACTGGACGAGTGCCGAAGTCCTCACAGGGGTAAGCCCTGAACCCCCGCGGACGACTCTCGAGACGCCGAGGGGGCCCCTGCCGGCGGAGAGGGACACCAGGGCCCGCCGCGGGTGGGCGCAGTCCCAGAGACAGGCCCCGTGTAGGCCGCCGTTTATGCTGCTGCTGCAGTGACAGAGGAGTGAATGGCAACATTGAGTCTCTGTAGACAATCATCATCATCACCGCCAGCCGTGGTCTATCCACTGCTGGATGAAGGCCTCCCTAAGCCGTGGCCAGCCTTCACGGGCCCACGATGCCGTAAGCCGCCTTTATGGGCGCCAACAGCACGGGCTGGTGTCGCCTGGTCTTTTGTACGTCAAATTAATATAATTTAGTATTTTTTTAAATGTCAAATTTTCATTTATTTTGGTCCTGGATCTATGGTCCATTGCTAGTCTTTTGTCCAAGATCCTGGTTTCTATGTTTTCCTCTCTTTTCGTCTTTGTGGCCTTTTTGGCTTCTGATTCTGCATCTCGCGAGTTCCAAATTGTTTGGCTTCGGTCCCTGAGTCCCAGGATTCTGCTCCTGGGTGGATCTCTACCGTATTTATTTTAGTCTCTATTCCCAGAGACCGAGTCCCTAGTTGTATGTATAGCTATGAATTTAAAGACACTGATCGTTAGACTTTGGTCCCTGATTCTTAGTTCATTAGATCCCAGGTTATGAATCTCAGCTGTCTGGTTCTTAATATTTATTCTAGATTTGAAGCTTTCATGACTGCAAGGATTCATACTCTTTGGTTTCGTTCAATTTGCCCGTCTTATCCTTCTAACCTTTCCCACCACTTTAAACTGACTCCGTTACTGTGTTGCAAGTTAATTGGTCTTGGAGCATCATTTTTATCAATTCGTTGCGTGCTGACTCTGCTCGGCCTCATGTCGTAGTGTAAATTTGGTCTCAAGAGGGATGGAGAGCGTGGAGGCCCTGTGGCCTTGCCCATGTGGCCTCAAAGACCTCTGGACCCCTAAGGGCCCTTTACCACCCTTCGGGTATGGACATTGACCCCAACTGCAATTAAAGTCCTCATTTTCTTGACACTGCTATATATTTTCATCTCTACTCTGAAGAAGGTCCATTGCCCAAAACAGCCTACTCTTTTCCCTCTGTTATGAATAAGTATTTATGGTTAACGCAGCAGTGGTTTTGAATGACAAGGCAAAGCTGAGAGGTGGGTAAAGAATAATTGACAGCTGCATGCTTGGAATCTCACTGAGAGAAAGAGGTACACAAGGATCAGAAAAGAAACTCAATTTGGAGGCATCACATTGACTTCAGAGTAATATATTGGGCTTGGACAGGACACATCACTGGAAGGAACATTCCCCGTTGGTAGAGACTAGCGGATGAGTGGCAGCCAAAGGAAGGAGTGCACCCAAGAGGACATCCACCACGGAGCGAGAGCAATGAGATAAGCTGATGTGCAGGAGCAAGATGGATCATTGCAAGATGGTGAAGGATTGCGACGCCATGGAGAGGTCTTCATCCAGCAGTAAATCGATGACGTCGAACGATTGTGATCATTTGTGAAATAATGGCACGTCTCCCTCGCCCACAGACCACCATCATGGCCGTGGAGTTTGCCGATGGCGTGGTGTTCGGCGCGGATTCTCGCACCACCAGCGGGTACGCCCCCTGCACGCACCCCCTTCACTAGCCCCCTTCACTAACCCCCTTCACTAACCCCCTTACGCCCACCTCCTTCACTAACCCCCTCCACACACCCCATCAACTAGCCCCCTTCATTAACTCCCCTCCACTCACCTCCTTACGCCCACCTCCTTCACTAACCCCCTTACGCCCACCTCCTTTACTAACCCCCTTCACAAACCCCCTCCACGCGTCCTCTTCACTCACCCCCTTACGCACATCCCCTTCACTAACCCCCTCCACGCACCCCCTTCACTAACCCTCTTCATTAACACCCCTTAACTAACCACTCTCCACGGCGAGTGATAACTGAACCGATCCTGACCACCAACCTGCGCTAATCATCATGGTGAAGTAAATCAGAATCGGAATATTTATTTATACCGGAGGAATCCGATGAGCTATACAATTCTTTCTCACCAATGTCCAGTATTGGTGAGGCAACCCTTATTGCAGACATGGCTTGGGGAGGCCTTCATCCAGTGGTGGATAGATCATGGCTGATGATAATGATGATGAATGTTGGTGAGAGTCCACTGCATTCGTACACAAATAAAGACAGAGATACCCCACATAGCCTTTAATAGACTTTAGGAGTAAGTGCTGTGAGCGAGCACCTATTAAATCTGGCACGGCACACGAGAGGGTGGGTGGCCAACACCACGCCGCCGCCTTTGTGCTGATACTGATGCATGGCTCCAGGTACAGTTGAACCCCTCTTAACGACAGCAATTGGTTTCACGAAACCGGCCGTGAAGTGATTTGGTCATTTAGCGGGTATAGGAAATACATATTAAAGGCCTTATTCGTTCCGACAGCATGGAAAGTTACCCCTTTTCACCCAAAAAACTTACTTTATAATATTTAAACAATGGATATTAATACATAAAGATACAAACAACATTATAAACAGATAATATTAAAAGAAGCATGGTTAATCAATGCATTAATTCAGATTAACTGTACCTACAACATCCCGTCATTAACGGGAGTGGTCGGTAAGCGAACACTTTGGGCTCTCTGGAGGCCCGTCGTTAACAGGGGTGGTCGTTAAGACGGGTTATACTGTACTTATTTAATGCTGAGTCGACCTAGGGAGGCCCAGGAATGGTTCAGATATTCACTCTTCTTGATCGTGAACAGAAATCGAACTCGGATCGCTGGGTTCATAGTGCAACGCGCCAACCAATGCAGCACTGATCCCTACAGTTGCCTGTACGCACGCACGCTGTTCTTTTGTGTAACAGCACTTTTCCTCAAACAATCTATGGGGGGGGGGGGGGGGTGGGGAAATCTCTTTCCGTTTACACGCGCGAGCAGGTCTTATGTCGCTAACCGAGTGACGGACAAGCTGACGCCCGTGCACGATCGCATCTTCTGCTGCCGCTCGGGATCGGCGGCCGACACCCAGGCCATCGCAGACGTCGTCAATTACCAGCTCGGCTTCCACAGGTGCGGGCCACCGCGACGTGCCAGAAGAAGCGACGCGTTCCTTCAGATGAGCCTCGTTTTATAATTACAGCGAGTGCTCGTTCCACGCGGTTAGATGCGTCCCTAAAAAAAAAGTTCCGCGTTAAGCGAGAATCGCGTCGAGCGCAAAACAATTTCCACATGAGTAGTGTAACAGTTAGCGTTTTGACGAGATACGATGTAGGTACACCACACGGTGAAATGGCAGGACAAATAACTGAGGGTTGGTTACCCGCCGCCGATAAAAAATGTCAGGGATAGAAGAGGGCGGGTGATTGATGCAAGGCTGGTGCGGTAATGCTGCCCTGTCCCCCCAACCCACCACTAACCATTAGCATCGAGATGGAGGAGATGCCTCTGGTGCACACGGCAGCCAACCTTTTCAAGGACTACTGCTACAGGTACCGTGAGGAGCTCATGGCTGGCATCATCGTGGCCGGCTGGGACAAGCGCAAGGGGGGCCAGGTGAGAAGCAGCCACCGTTGGGGGGGGTGGTTGCCTAGTGGTTAGCGCACCACGCTACGAACCCGCCTCACCCGAGTTCGAATCCCGCTCGCGGTCAATGTCAGTCACCAATGTCTGGTCACCATTCTTCCTCTAAGTTGACTTAAAGTATTTGACTGCTGTAAATTTCCACGTCATAAGCCACTTCGTTGAGCTATCATTTGTAGGCAGGTTGCTTTGGAAAAAATGATATATAGCTCAGCAGGCCTTACCTGGTCAAATAAAATAAAAAGTTTTAAGTTTTTAATTGTGCAGTGTGTATAAAGCATCAGCACTGGAGAGACAAAGGCTAGCTGCACCATCCGCCTCTCATGTCATGCCGGCCTTCATAGGTACTCAAAAACAGCATTTGCCCCCTTAAAAGCTATACAGGGGATATTTGTCTTTTATATATATGTGTGAGTGCAGTGCTGGCACCTTCCTCACCAGTGCGTGTGACAGTGTGGTGTTGCCACTCACTTCCATCCATGTGCTGCTACTGCTGTGCTGCAGGTGTACACAGTGCCACTGGGTGGCATGTTGGTGCGCCAGCCATTCTCCGTCGGCGGTTCTGGCAGCACCTACATCTACGGCTTCGTTGACTCCAACTACAAGACCGGCATGACCAAGGAGGAGTGCATGGAGTTCACAGCCAAGGGTGAGCGACTCCCAGTCCACACCCCGCCCGCTCGCACCTCACCGTCCAGCACAGCAAGAGGGCCCCGGTCTGTCTTCCGTGCGGCCATTTTTTGGCGCCTATAACACGAGCCATCGGTTCTCTCTCGGCAACCGTCAGAAAAACAGACAAGATTCGGTGTTTTTACGGTAAGCTTCCTGCACAGGAGCGCCGCGTTGAAGCTCTTTCGAGAAGTAAAACGGCGAACAACAAAATACGCAGAGTGAGAGAGATCGGGAGATACGGCGCTACGGAGGCGAGGCCACGACGACGGGGGGAGCAATGGTGGAGCCGTCGAGGTCACGTGGGGCTTTAAAGGGGGCAGGGTCTGTGTAGGCGTTCCTAACAGAGGTGACGCTATCTACACGTGACGTGGAGAATCAGCAGCTAGAAATTACGCGACATCTACTGCACCGGTTAAATGCCAGTGCCCAGGTAGCCGGAAAAATACTTTAGCCAATTACCATTTTTTTGTCTTTCTCCTACCTGTTACCATCTCGTCTCACCTCCCACCTTCTCTCACCCCCATCACCCCCCGCAGCGCTGTCGCTCGCTATGAGCCGCGATGGCTCGAGCGGTGGAGTCATCCGCCTGGCGGCCATCACAGCCGGCAGCGTGGAGCGCAGGGTGCTCACGGGCAAGGACATTCCGACCTTCTACGAAGAATGAACCCCCCCCCCCCACCTTCTTCCCCCCCCCCTCGATCCCCCGGCGGGCTCCCATAATCCATTGCGGTATTGTATCACACAAATGTAGACGTCTCGCATTATTTGCAAATAAAACGCTAGTGTCAGCCACGCTGGCCGATTTACAGTTTCATCTAATACGCTGTCACAGGCGCACACATAACACACCCGCGGGCCAAATTCTCGGCCTACTGACTGGGTGTCTGTGTGGGGCAACTTGAAACGATGTTTGTTTAGACCGCGTCGGTTTTTGTTTTGCTGTACTGCATAGCCTGCCCGTCGTCGAGAAGGAGGGGGTATCAATCACTCGCTGCGCGCGTTTCCCACCTGGGTTGAACCGAATAAACTCATTTCTACAACGACGTTTGTGAGTGCATGAGTGCTGTTTGGCCGATTGCTGGTGCTGTGCTCTTGTTTTATGCGTTTCAGCATGGTACACAATCCACCGAGAAGTAACGGGAGTGTAAAGTTGTATTTACTGCAAGGTGTCGCGTCACCATCACGCTGTGACAGGTGGCCCCCGGCGGCAGCTAGCCCTGCACAACGTTATCGCTGCGCCTGCCTCGAAGCGGGAATTATTCTGCCAGAAGTGGGGGGGGAGTTGGGGTGGCTGACGTTGCTATGTGGCTTCCCAATAAAGTATCTTGTGTGGGCAAGCCATCAAGACTCCACACCGCCGCATACAGCCTACCACCCTGTTTTTTTTAATAAACTGATGGCATCTTTAACGTCCCGACTGTTTAGCGGACGGCGCGTAGCGTCTCCTAAAGGTGACTACACCCGCAGCATTAACCAGGGCGGCCACTGGGACCGAGCGCACAGCAATCGGTGCCGTGTCACCAGTCCGCAATGCGGGAAGCGTCATTTGTAAACAGTGTGGGCTCCTCCGCTGTTTGAGGAAACGATGGAACGTCTGTGGGGCTGGGTCGTGAAGCGACATGACCCGTGAAGCAACACAAGATCACAATGATCTTTGTTGCTCGGAGCTCCCCTAATCCCCTTCACCCACCACCACCACCTCCTCCATTGGCGATGGTGGAGGAGACGAGAAGTGCTGTCTGTTTAAAAACAAGTATTATGTAGGCAGATCTCTACACATTCTCATGATTTAAAGCATACAAGATCAATATTTCAGAATTTGTTAACATGCAAAACACACCTGGACCGGTTTAGACCACCTGGGCCTCATTAGCGGAGTCCAAGCTTGTTAAGCAATGGGTACTGGGTTATCCAGGGTGAAAGGTGCCGAACCTCCCAAGATTGTCCTGGATCGGGCACGTTGTAGGGGCTTCTCGTTAATGACGTGCGTCTGGTTGTTCACACGACTTGAAGTGACAGGTAGTTGTGTTTATCGTTGAATCTTTTGTACTCCTCCCTCTTCCCCCATCTGTCTTGATGAACCGGTCTGTCAGCTCGCTTTTACTCTCAGAAGTAGCTCCGTCAAATCATCTTCCAGATCCTACTCGCTTAACTCCATTCTCGCCTAGCGGCGGCAATGACTGATGTCACATTTTGTGAGCTCGGATATGTGACACACATTACACAATCTCAACGATCCGAACAGAAATGTGATATTTGCTGACATTTTTGTATCTTCAATCGGAAATTCTAACCTCGCCATAGAGGCTCGTCGTTTTGTCTGCAGGAATACCATCGAACCCAAGTAGGTTTGCGTTAATACGAGGTCAACGTGCAGTCAACGTGCAGCCAAAGCCAAGGGAGCTTCTGGATGAAACTGCACTCCACGTTGACGAGTGTAGTGGTCACGTGGCCTTGATAGCCTGGGCAGGAGTGGGGTAGGGAAAGTGGAGGGCAGGGCGGGTGATCGGTGGTGTCAACTGTGGATCTGCCCAACCAAAGATGTTGAGAACCACTGCCCCAATAGCCACGGTGGCGAGATGTTAACTACCTCGCTAGGTATAGAGCAACGCGTGGGTTCGATCCCGACTCTGACGCCTGTTGTCAATTTGGAGTTTGCACGCCTCTCCCCATGGTCGCGTGGATTTTTTCCGGGTCCTCCAGTTGTTCACATTCAGAAACACGCGTTTGGAGTGTTTGGCTGCTATATATTTCCACGCGATAGGCCACTTCGTTGAGCTATCATTTGTGGCCAGGTCGTTTCTGGAAAAAACTGCAGTGGGCCTTACCTGGTGCCTGATGATGCCGGTTATAATTACTGTCAAAACGTCGTACTCAGATTGTAAATGTTGTGGATTTGCTCTCCAACACACCGGTGTGCTGTACTAGTATCGATTTGGCACGTTCTGTTTACGTGACAAACCTTACGAATTGGTGGTGGCAGGTTTAACGACGCATTTAGATTTACGCGATCGAACCCAAATAACCTGCATTTTGAATGATATTAGTCGCGGAAGCCTACGTGTTAACTGGGCCTTACCTGGTAAAAAAAGAGGTAAAATAGTTTGTATAGTTTATAGAAACATTCCCTTCACATTTAATATAAAATGTTAAACTATATATAATAGGTTTTACCCTTTCTGGCAATAAAACAGTTGTGTTAAGATTTTAAAGCACCAAACTGAAACCTTTTGCAAGGAATCGTGTCTGCATTAACCACACATACTTATGATGAACATGCAAACAAAGCATGTTGTGGGGAACGTATTGCCAGAAAGGGTGAAACTTATTCTTATACTCTTTGGTTCTTTCGGTAAAGTCACGTAGGTATAAAATGAATCACGACGTTTCGGGCGCAACACAAGCGTCCGTCATCAGGTGGGAAAGCATGGTCTGCTGCTGAGGCAGACTGTTTTATATTTTGATAATGGTTAGGGAGAGTCTCATGACGTCAAACTATAACTTACCAAGTAAGGCTCCACTGAGCTACGTATCTCATTTTCAGAAGCGACCTGGCCACAAATGATAGCTCAACGAAGTGGCTTATCATTGCGTGGAAGTTTATAGCAGCCAAATACTCTACATAATCTCTGGAAGCGCCACTGTGACCCCGTGGAACAGACGGATGGGGCCTCCAACCCAGTACTGTGGAGGCAGCTAGGGTCGGTGGATCACACACACACACGTGGGATTCCCTCCCTGCCAGTCGACGTCCGCCGAGGCAGCCATCACCTGCGTTGTGGCCACGTTCTGATGGCAGTACAGCAAGGGGGACTAATTTTCCATCTGCACTAGGGATTGGGTTTTCCCCACCACCTGGCACGCGTGGAATTTCTCGTGTCTGACCGGTCCTGGTTTACTCCCACGTGTACACAAAGCACGTCCATTCATGGAGTTGGACAAAGATTCCCAACATAGGACCACAGAGCTTGGGAAATAATTATTGGCTCCGGTTATGGCTGCCTTCCCGATCGTGTGGTTTTCCCGGAGAGTGAACGAAACATGGTAAACTGCGTGTTAAAATGTATAGGGGGCCTGATCCTTCAGCAGTGGGTGGCGGGGGGGGGGGCTCAGACCCCTCCAGCACCCCCTCCCCAATTATGGTATGTGGATATCTCTACCATCGTGGTGTTTACGCGCCACCGCACGCGAGGTGCGTCCATTGTTACCCGCTCAGGTGCTCGCCGCTTCCTCATAGAGCCCTCTCGGCTACAAAGGGGATGAGCAACGGTCCCTGTGCCCTGGGATCCCCCTAAACCGATCCTCCCCACCCCACCCGTCTCCCCACTTGTCTCACCGTGTCTCCTCCTCCACAATCCTCACGACTCCCGACACCTGCTCGTAAAACCCTAATATCCCGCCTGCCTTGACACCAGTGTCTCCCTGCGTCTCCCATTTGCCGGACACCTGCCCCTCTCCTCTCGTCTCCCCGCGTCTCCCCTCGTCTCTTGCCTCCTTGACACCGGCCCCTGTTACCGAGTATCTCCCCCGCGTCTCCCATCGTCTGACACCTCGCCCGTCATCCTCGTCGTCTCCCCCGTGTCCCTCCACTTGTCTCCCCGCGTCATCTCCTCCTCTTTCTCCTAACATATGTCCCCATGTCAGACACCCGGGTGTGTCTCTCAGTCTCTCTCTGTGATGTCCGCCCGCGGGCTAGAAGCACTCACCCTGCACGGCGCAGATTCCGCGTTCGTCTCCAGGTGCAGGGATCTTGGGGGCTGCTGGCTCGCCTCGCCCGCGCGCGTCACTCGGGACACCGGCGTGGATCCCATATGACCTGTGACTCCTGTAACATCTGTGCATCTTAGAGCAGCTGTGAGGCCTATAACGCCCACGACCCATATATCTGTGAACCCTACAACACCTGTGTCTCCAATAGCACCTGTGAATCATATAACACACGTGAGCCATATAACACACGTGAGCCATATAACTCCTGTGAATCATATAACACCTGTGACCCATATAACACATGTGAGCCCTACAACACAACACCTGTGACTCCTGTAACACCTGTGAATCCTATAACACCTGCGACTCCCATAATACCTGCGACTCCAATACCCGCGACTCCAACACCTGCGACTCCTACAACACCTGCGACTTCCATAACGCCCGCGACTCTGATGTGACACCTATAGCACCCGCGGTTTAACACCTGGATCACCTGCGCGACACTTCGGCGTCGCTCAGCTGATTGCGGTTTATGACGGAAACGTCTGAAGTCAAGGTTGGAGGAAGTAGGGGGGTGGGGGGGCTTGTGGGGAAGGAGGGAGGGGGGTGTTCCTTTTCGAGTTTCATTTCCTATTCTCGGCTGCCTTGTCCCACTCCCCACCTTCTGCCCCCCTACCTCCCCTCATCTTCCTCTGCCGTCTCTCCCCGCAGACGGATGCTCGGAGTCGGCGGTTTTCGGCTGGCCGGGAGGGTGAGTGATGGAACGGGCTGCGGTGCCGGATTAAGCGGGGCCTGTAGCATTTGATGTTATACAGGGGCCCTGAATTTAAAAAAAAGATAAATATTAAAACACACATTTTTAACTTGCATAGTAAAGTAATTGTATTTTTTCATTTTCTATACAGCCAGATAATGCGACAAATCGCTAACCTTAAACATCCATTCGTTCATAAAAATTGAAGGCGGTATAGTACTATAGTAAAAGAGCAAGTGCAGGATCACTGAACCGGAATTAATAGCTTGAAAGCATTTAGCGCGGGGGCCCTTGAAAGTGCGGGGCCCGTAGCATTTGTAGCGACTTGTGCTACCACGATAATCCGGCATTGATGGGCTGGGTTATCGTCCTGTGTCCACACCGCGCACCGGTATTTCATTTAAACGAATAATAATACATCGATGTACGTGTGTTGGACTTCTTTCACACCGTACGCAGCCACCAATAGCGCTGACCGGAGGTGCGGCTTACTGTGGAGCCACCACAGCCGGCTGTGTTGTTAAACACTGCCGGCTGCGCCGTTCCAACGGCCAGAATACCAAATATACTAAAATCGTTGTCATGAATGTATGTGTGTGTTAAGTGTTATACGTAGAGATTATATAATGGAGCAATTTGCAGTGTGATGTTTCAGCTTTGGGATGTTTCGGCTCAATAGCAGTTACATTGCGTGTTATTTATTTATTACTACTAAAAAAAATTGTTTACCAGTTAATGCCCACTGAGCTGCGTAGCTCTTTTTGAGAGGCAACCTGGCCACAAATTATAGCTCAACGAAGTGGCTCATCACCTGGAAATTTATAGCAGCCAAATACTCTAAACGCGTGGTGATGTCGATTCTAAATGTGGAGGAAAAACCGGAAGACCCGGAGAAAAATCCACGCGACCACGGAGAGAGACACGCAGATACCAAATATACAACAGGCGTCAGAGTCGGGATCGAACCCACGATATCTCCTGTATGCCTGGCGAGGTAGTAAACACCTTCTAGCCACCGTAGCTTTGGGGAGGACATCTGAGAACCGTATAGCCTTGACAGATTGTTGGGGCGAGTGCTGTTCGCGAGCACACGAGGGGATGGGTCCTCAGTATTTATTTGGCTGCTATAAATTTCCACGTGATGATAAGCCATTTCGTTGAGCTATCATTTGTGGCTAGGTCGCCTCTCAAAAGGAACTGTTTATAACTCAATGGGTGCCCAGCACTACGCCCCACCGCCTTTGTCTCCCCAGTGGCGATGTTGTCACACCGCACCGAGTACTCATTTGATGCTTAGTCGACCTAGGGGAGGCCAAGGACCGGCTCAGATAATCGTCACCGGTGTCGTCCGTGAGCCGGAATCGAACGGTTTAGTAGCGCCAACCCGCGACACGACGTACAAACTCCACACAGACACACAGAGTCGGCCGAGTCGGGGAATCAAAGACGGCAAATCTTAATTTGCCGTGACCACTTGGCCAACTTGACCGAAGGAACACCGGGGGCGGAGTGGCCCCGCGGTGGAACATGGATCGGCCGAATGAGCACGCGGAGGGGACAGCTGGGTGCCGGCTAACTGGAGGCACGCGGTGATCTTAAAATACCCCGCGAGGGATATGTACACACACACGCACAAAGGCGAATGTCCCCCGTATAGCCTTCACCAGACTGTTGGGGCAAGTGCTGTTGGCGAGCTGCTATGAAGGCCGGTACGGCACATGACGGGGGGGTGGGGGCAACAGCAGGCTCGACCATGTGTCCTGATGTGTACATAGCGTAGCAGATACTCCTTTAAGGCTGAGTCGATGTAGGGGAGGCCAAGCCAGGACCGGTTCAAATATTCGTTGTCATAGGTTGTGGGAGGGAATCGAACTCGGGTCGCCGGGTTCGTCGTGCAGTGCCCCTAACCACTGCACCACCGCTCTACACATGATGTACACAACACAGCACATGTGAATCTATTTCTATTGAAATGCTCATTGAGCCCGGGCATGGCATAAATACGTGGATTATGTAAACACTTAATCGTGGGTTACATATAACGCGCCGTCCCCCAAATTGCTTCCACTGTCTCTCTGGACTCTCTAGGTACTGTGAGGAAGGGCCTTTGTCCGAAATGTCGCCTATTATATAACTGTTTAAGGTCACCGAGTTATTGACGAATGTGTTGAGTTTTTGTGTGATATACACATACTGTATACACAACGATACTCCGTATAGCCTGAGCAGACTTTTGTAGCAAGTGCCGTCAGCACCTATGAAGACCCGCAACGGTACGCGAGGAGGGTTGGTGACCAGCACTACGCCGGGCCGCCTTTGTCTCCCCAGTGCTGATGCTTGCAGACCACCCCAGGCACTCATTTAATGTTGACACGACCTAGGGGAGGCACAGGACCGATTCAGATATTCACCAATAGGAATTAACCACACATCACACTTGCACAAAGAAAGCATACTGCACACATATACAAAGATAGCCGGTATAGCCTTTAACAGGCTGCAGGGGAAAATGATGTTGTCGTTTGTGTCAACTCGCCCAACCCATGTGTACACATTTTATCATAGGATTATGCACTTGAGACACATTGCACACCGCATATACCGAAAATAAACACATTACACGCGTCACATAATTCATTTGCACACGCAAATACAAAGATCCCTCGTACAGCAAACTCAGGCTGTATGGGCAAGTTCTGTTCACGGCCACCTACGAAGGCCATAACGGTACACGAGGGGGTAGGTGGCCAACAACACGCCCGACCGCCTTTGTCTCCCCAGTGAAGATGTTTTACACACCGCACCAGGTACTAGGGGAGGCCCAAGGACCGGTTCAGATCATCTTCACTGGTGTTGGCCGTGAGCGGGAATCGAACTCGTGTCTTCAGGTTCGTAGCGCTGCCCGCTAACCGCTGCACTACCGCTCCCTAAAGTGGCACACACGGCGAACACAAAGTGGCACGCACACAAAGAACTTCCGTATGGCCTTGGCACACGCGCGCACACAGTGACACGCACACAGAATAACACACACATTTACGGCATCTATTTATAAACCGACATTGGAAGCTATGCCACTTATGTCTGTCTACTCACGTTGTCTGTCTGTGTCTCTCTCTGTAGGTGGACTCAGGCTTAATTGAGTAACCGGCGCGGTATGTATACATCTGGGGAGACAAAGGCGGTCGGGCGTGTTGGTAGCCACCCACCCCCTCGGGTGCCGTGCCAGCCATAGCAGGCGCTCGCAAACAGCACTTGCCCCAACAGTCTGTTAAAGGCTATAGGGGGGTCTTTGTCTTTGCGTGTGTGCCAATCTCAGTTCGTGTCTCTGTGTGTCTCGAGATGCCTGTGTGTCTACGCAGCAAGTTGGCAGAGTGCGGAGCACAGGTGATGTCATCTGTCAGTCATCTCGGTCACGACATGGTCTGTCTGTCTGTCCGGTGACCTCCTGCACCTAGCCTGGCACACCATTCAACCCATACCACCTGGGTCTGTCCCGCGACCTCGTGTCTTGTCAAGCAAGTGAGCCTTCCCCACGCTTCACGTGCACCTAGCCTGGCACAAGCACTTATTTGAACCCCGCCGCTGACCTCTGTCCGCGAGGGCACCCGAGGGGGAATGAGACGACCCACTCATGGCACAGGGGACCCCTCCCCCCTACCCCTGACGGCACAGAGGGGGCCCCACGGCCCTACCCCCTCACCGATGTATTAAGACCCGGGACCCCACGTGTCTCACCGGATCTGTGGACGCAAGAGGGAACGCGATGTGAAGGACTCGTGCAGACACGTGATACAAGCCGGCATCAGCAGCAACAGCAACAGCAGCAGGGGCGATTGGACTACTGTTGTTTAGTATCATCATCAGCAGCTGCTGCTGCAGCTCTTGCCACCGCAGCGCGAACAGGGACGACAGCAAAAGGAATTTATTGACACCAGAAGAAGCGTCATCGCTGCGACCAGTAGAATCATCATCACCGCCGCCATCGTCGGTGTCCCAAATATCGTCACCATCATCACCATCACGCCAACAGCCACAACCAGCGCAGACGCCGCAATCGACATCACAGGTTATCACCAGCACTTGGCTACATCACCACCATCATCACAATTGAATGTTCCACCACCAGTGTCATAAACACAACATCATCACCCAACACACCAGAATAACAAACTATTAACATCATCACGACATCATCAGCATCACCATCATCGCCACCTCCACCAGAGCCACGCACGCGCGATGACTGCACAATCGCAGTGATTCTGCAATCACAGCGATTGATTCTGCAATCACAGCCTGGAAATCTTGTATCCGGTAGAGAACACATCACCATCACCACATCAACACCATCACCACCATCAATATCATCAACATCACTATAAACATCACCAACACCATCAAGTGTCAAAACATCACCATCAACACAATTATCCTCACCACCATCAACATCCATCACCATTACTATCATAAGCACTGTCACCACCATCACCATCAACCACCAGCATCGTAACATCACCATCAACACCTCCAAACACGCGTGCCACCTGATCACACCGCTAACACCACCCCACATCGACGTTCCATCAGCACCACCACCAGCAGCAGAGATAGCAACATCACATCGAAGCTACCACCACCATCATCATCACCAGCAGCAGCAGTGACATCACATCTCCACCACCACCAGCATAACCATCACCACCAACATCATTAACAGCAGCAGCACCACCACCACCAAGATAAACACCGTTAACATCACAACCACCACGAGTAAGCACCGTCAGCATCACTGGGCATCTGTGGAAACAGAGCTTTGTAGCTCATCGGATTCCTCCTGTATAAGTATTCTCACTCTGATCACGTAACCACCGTCATCACCACTATAATCACAGCAACACCACCACCACCATCAGCATCACCGTCACCATCATCATCATCACCACCGTCACCACCACTGTCACCACCACCGTCACCACCACAATCACCATCACCGTCACCATCATCATCACTACCGTCACCACCACTGTCACCACCACCGTCACCACAACCGTCACCACCACTGTCATCACCACCACCGCCACCACCGTCACCACCACTGTCACCACCACCGTCACCACCATCACCGCCGCCGCGATGTTGCGCGACGTGGACGACCTCGAGTTCGAGGCGCCGTCGCACTGCGCCCTCGTCATGTCCGGCCTGCGCGCCGAACGCTTCGACCCCAAGCTGAGCGACGTCGCCCTGGAGGCGGCGGGGCGCCGCTACCCGTGCCACCGCGCCGTGCTGGCGCTCTGCAGCCCCTTCTTCAGGTGCCCGCCTCCTCACACAGACTCCTCACCCAGACTCCTCACACAGCCTCCTCACACAGACTCCTCACCCAGACTCCTCACACAGACTCCTCACCCAGACTCCTCACACAGACTCCTCACCCAGACTCCTCACACAGACTCCTCACACAGCCTCCTCACCCAGACTCCTCACCCAGCCTCATCACCCAGCCTCATCACCCCGACTCCTCACCCAGACTCCTCACCCCGACTCCTCACCCAGACTCCTCACCCAGCCTCATCACCCAGACTCCTCACACAGACTCCTCACCCAGACTCCTCACCCAGACTCCTCACACAGACTCCTCACCCAGACTCCTCACCCCGACTCCTCACCCAGACTCCTCACCCAGCCTCATCACCCAGACTCCTCACCCAGACTCCTCACCCAGCCTCATCACCCAGCCTCATCACCCCGACTCCTCACCCAGACTCCTCACCCCGACTCCTCACCCAGACTCCTCACCCAGCCTCATCACCCAGACTCCTCACCCAGACTCCTCACCCAGACTCCTCACCCAGACTCCTCACACAGACTCCTCACCCAGACTCCTCACCCAGACTCCTCACACAGACTCCTCACCCAGACTCCTCACCCAGCCTCATCACCATCCTTCTGATCGATCAGTATTCCACCTTTTTCAGCCCCTTCTTTTAGGCACCCGCCTCCTCAACCTCACTCCCCTCACCCTCCTCACCCTCCTCATTCCCCTCACCCTCCTCACCCTCCTCACTCCCCTCACCCTCCTCACTCTCCTCACCCTCCTCACTCCCCTCACCCTCCTCACCCTCCTCACTCCCCTCACCCTCCTCACTCTCCTCACCCTCCTCACTCCCCTCACCCTCCTCACCCTCCTCACTCCCCTCACCCTCCTCACTCTCCTCACCCTCCTCACTCCCCTCACCCTCCTCACCCTCCTCACTCCCCTCACCCTCCTCACCCTCCTCACTCCCCTCACCCTCCTCACCCTCCTCACTCCCCTCACCCTCCTCACTCTCCTCACCCTCCTCACTCCCCTCACCCTCCTCACCCTCCTCATTCCCCTCACCCTCCTCACCCTCCTCACTCCCCTCACCCTCCTCACCCTCCTCACTCCCCTCACCCTCCTCACCCTCCTCACCCTCCTCATTCCCCTCACCCTCCTCACCCTCCTCATTCCCCTCCCCCTCCTCATTCCCCTCACCCTCCTCACCCTCCTCACTCCCCTCACCCTCCTCACCCTCCTCACTCCCCTCACCCTCCTCACCCTCCTCACTCCCCTCACCCTCCTCACCCTCCTCACTCCCCTCACCCTCCTCACCCTCCTCACTCCCCTCACCCTCCTAACCCTCCTCAATCCCCTCCCCCTCCTCACCCTCCTCATTCCCCTCACCCTCCTCACCCTCCTCACTCCCCTCACCCTCCTCACCCTCCTCACTCCCCTCACCCTCCTCACCCTCCTCACTCCCCTCACCCTCCTCACCCTCCTCACTCCCCTCACCCTCCTCACCCTCCTCACTCCCCTCACCCTCCTCACCCTCCTCACTCCCCTCACCCTCCTCACCCTCCTCACTCCCCTCACCCTCCTCACTCCCTTCACCCTCCTCACTCCCCTCACCCTCCTCACCCTCCTCACTCCCCTCACCCTCCTCACCCTCCTCAATCCCCTCACCCTCCTCACCCTCCTCATTCCCCTGTGTTTTTGTCTCCTCCCCCACTTCCTCCTTATTAAGGAATCCTGCTCCTCCTCTTTCTCAGTTCTTCTTTCTCCTGGGCTCCCCCTCCTCCCACTCGGCTCCCACTCCTCTTGTCCAGGGTCTTCTCCTCCTCCTTACCAACTCCTCCTGCTCGCCTCCTGACTGCTGGCCGGACGAATGTCCAAACCGAGCCCAGAGGGCTGCTGCTTTGCTGTTTGAACCAATGCTGCCTAAATTATGCACTCGCAGAAGGCCGTGTGGCTGATGGGATGTGCACAGTCACTCGCACGCCCAGTCACTGGCTCGCTCACCGGCGGTCAGTCACCTCGTTACCACCCTTCCACTGCTACTGCCATGGTTGCTATTCGAGTGAACTCCACTCGCTGTTTGCTCCACCCGTGTCGTGGACTCGGTCTCTACCAGACACTCAATGTTTCGTCTCATCCCACCACGCTGCAGGTCACATGGACACACTCGCCCACCCACCACTCACCCACCACTCATCTACCCACCCACCCATCCACTCGCCCACCCACCCATCCACTCGCCCACCCACTCACCCACCCACTCATCTACCCACCCATCCACTCGCCCACCCACCCATCCACTCACCCACCACTCATCTACCCACCCACCCATCCACTCGCCCACCCACTCACCCACCACTCATCTACCCACCCACCCATCCACTCGCCCGCCCACCTAATCCCTCACCCACACACCCACCCACTCACCCACCCATCCACTCACCACCCACTCACCACCCACTCACCACACTGCAGCTCACCTCACTTCTCCTTCTGCGTCGTCCCCCGCACCTCTCCACGTCGTTGTTCCCTCCTCCCACCATCACCGCCATCGTCGTCTCTTCCTCCACCCTCTACGCTCTCAATGTAACATCCTCCCTCACTTATACCTCATGGCGGGACCCCGGGGTCCCGAATGAACGGAAGTCAAAATCGCAAACGAATAAATAAAAATGTTGGGCGACTCCGTCCCACCGAGCACACAAACGCCGCGACCCATCGGAAATGAATCCTCTCCTCGTTCTTCACCAAGCAAACGTCGTTTGCCAAAATTGCCGTAGTCACAAACAAAACTTTGAAACTTTGATGAGCGCATCGTGTAGAGCTCGTCGAGAAGAAGAGATCGCCGTGTCGTTCGCCTTCAACAGACGTAAAATGACGTCGCAACGCAGTTTATGCGAGACCCGGGGGGGGGGGGGGGCTTATGGGACCCCGGGGTCCCGCCATAAGGTGCAGTTAGAGAAACGCGTTCACAACTCTCTATCACAACCTCGCGAACAGTGCTGTTTGTTGCTGGCTGCTTGACATTTTTGGCATTTGGACAACTGTACTCGGCAACTGTAAACAACAACAGCAAAGAAACAAGCTGAAGGCTGGACTGATGATGTTGTTGTTGATGATGCAGATGATGTTGTTGATGATGATGTTGATGATGTTGTTGTTGATGATGATGCTTATGATGTTGTTGAAGATGATGTTGATGATGATGTTGTTGATGATGATGCTGATGATGTTGTTGATGATGATGGTGATGTTGATAATGATGATGTTGATAATGTTGATGATGTCGATGATATTGATGTTGTTGATGATGATGTTGATGATGACGTTGATGTTTTTGATCATCTTGCTAATGTTGATGATAATGTTGTTGTTGATGATGTTGAAGACGATGTCGACGATGTTGTTGTCGATGATGTTGATGACGTCGTTGTTGTTGTTGTTGACGATGGGGTGTCGGGGACCCCTCCGTGCAGGGCCATGTTCTGCGGAGAGTTCCGGGAAAGCTTCTCGGCAGTGGTGCCGCTTCCCCAGGCCGACCCGGCCGCCCTGGAGCAGCTGGTGGACTTCGCCTACACGGGGAGGTTGACCATCAACCAGGACAACGTGGAGACGCTGACCGCGCTGGCGGGACGCCTCCAGTTCTCGTCCGTGCGAGAGGTGCCCCCCACCACCACCACGCCACCCCCCACCACCACCACCACCACGCCACCCACCACCACCACCACCACGCCACCCACCACCACCACCACACCACCCACCACCACCACGCCACCCACCACCACCACCACGCCACCCACCACCACCACCACACCACCCACCACCACCACGCCACCCACCACCACCACGCCACCCACCACCACCACGCCACCCCCCCACCACCACACCTCGCAGTGCTGCGCCACCGCTGCCGGGGAGCGGTGGCGCAGCGGTTAGCGCGCCGCGCCATGCCGTGGACCCGGCGACCCGAGTTTGATTGCCGCTCACGGCCAACACCGGCGACGATTGTTATGGGCCTCGCTTAGGTCGACTCGGTCTCAATTTAGTATCCGGTGCGATGTGTATACATCGCCAATGGGAAGACAAAGGCGGTCGGGCGTGGTGCTGGCCACCCACCCACCCCCTCGTGTACCGCACCAGCCTTCATAGGTGCTACTCGCTAACAGCACTCGACCCTACAGGCTGCTAAAAGCTATATATCTCTTTGTCTTGGGGATAAACTGGAGAACACGCAAACTCCAAATATATAGCAGGCGTCACGAGAACCCACGACCTCCTGCATACCAGGCGAGGTAGTTAGGGGCCGTCCATAAATGACGTCACGCACCTATGGGGGGGGGTCAGACATCTGTGGCGATGTGTGACAAGGGGGGGGGGGGGGTTGAGAAATGTGACGTCACATCAAAATGCGCAACTTTAAATGAATATAGACAACACGTTCTACTTAAGTAAATAGACTTTTTAATAAATGTTTTCTCCTACAACATCAGAGTGCAGCGCCACATTAAATACGCACTACAATGGCAATAGAATAGTTTAAAGCGATTTGAAGCATGTTTTATATTTTTTGGAGGGGGGGGGGCAGAGCTTTGTGACGTCATATTTGACGGGGGGTCTGACTTTTTGTGACGCCGTGTGACGACGGGGGGGGGGAGTCAAAAATCGTCCAAAATCGCGTGACGTCATTTATGGATGGCCCCTTAACACCTCCTAGCAGACTGTGTGTGCGCCCTATCCCCGACTCTAACCGCCCCGCCGGGCACCCTGCAGGTGTGCAGTCGCTACCTGCAGCAGCAGATCTCGGCCGCGAACTGCCTGGGCATCGGCCTGTTCGCCGAGGCCCACGCCTGCCCTGAGGTGGCGGCCAAGGCCGGGGCCTACGCCCTCAACAACTTCGGGGCGGTGGTGGCCGAGGAGGAGTTCGGGGATCTGAGCTGCGACTCGCTGCTCCAGCTGCTGTCGGACCAGCGGCTGCAGGTAGCGAGTGCCCGCCCCCCCGGCCCCCCCGCAAACCTCCTCCGCCTCCCCCCCCGCCCATCGTTAGCTTTTGTTTTGTGGCTCTGGAGACCGGGAGATCGACGGTCGACGTCACCCGTCGTGGTGTCTCATCTTCACGGAGTGGCGGTGAGACACCACAGCCCCAGCCCCAACCCCTGAGGTTATCTCCTCACCCGGGCCCGAATTCTTACCCCCCCCCCCGAGTATGAACGCCGAGCTTAACTCTGTGCTTGGCACTGTCCCCCATAACCCAATACCCTAACCCTAAACCCCCCACTTTAGCATTAACCACAACCCTGATGCGGACACTGTCACCCTGACCCTAATCCTGACTCTACTCTTCCCACTTGACACTGACTCTCATCCTAATTTTGACCCTTACCCTCATGCTGATCATAACCCTACCTTCAACTCTGACCTTTACCATTACCCTGACCCTCAGCCTTCTTCTTGCTTCTTACAGCCTACGGGATGTCGGAGTGTCAACAAATCACAGTGGCCCTAACCTCAAGCCACTCTCCCTCGCTTGCATCCTATTCCTCCCCTCGCCCTCTCTCCCTCCCTGCCCTCCCCTCGCCTCTCCCTCCCTCCCCCACTTCCCTGCACTCCCTCCTCTCCCCTCCCCTCACCTCACCTCCCCTCGCCTCTCTCTCCCCTCTCCTCCCTCGCCTCGCCTCTCCCTCCCTCCCTCCCGTCCTCTCCTCTCGCCTCTCTCTCCCATCCCTTCCATCTCCCCCCCCCCCATCTCCCTGCAGGATCGCGAGGACCCCGCGCTGCTGCTGGGCGCCGCCCTGAGCTGGGTGCGGAGGGACCCCGCGTGTCGCAGCCCCCACCTGGGGGCCCTGCTGGGCGCCGTGAGGCTCGGCGCCCAGCGGGGGGCCGGCCCCTCGTGCAGGGCGCTGCTCCAGGACCCCCTGCTGCAGGGGGACCCCTCCTGCAGGGCGCTCCTCGCCGACGTCGCAATGGACTTCGACGACACGCAGGCCACCGACGCTGACCAGGTGTCCAACTAAAAACTACAAACCAAAACTATTTTTTACCTTACCAGGTAAAGATGTATAGCTCTTTTTCAGAAGCGACCTGCCCTCAAATGGTAGCTCAACGTACTGTCTTATCATCATCACGTGGATATTTATAGCCGCCAAATACGCTAAACGCGTGACGTTGATTCGAATTGTGGAGGGCAAAACCGGAGGGCCCGGAGAAACATCCACGCGACCAAACATACAGCAGCAGGCGCCAGAGCTGGACTCGAACCCGTGACCTCCTGTATACCAGGCGAGCTAGTTAACATCTCGCCACCGTGGCGTGATGTGGACCATACGCTGACCCCACACACTTAGCGACAGCTCCTCCACACGGTAGACGCCGATTTCACCGACCCGGCATCTATGACGATGTAATGTGTGTGGCTAGGTCAGGTGGTGGAGGGTCTTCCGACATAAAACACGCCAGATCATTCACGGGGCCTCACCCAATTAAATCTACTATTATTATAACTGCACTTGTTGATCCGGGAAAGCTTCATCGAGTCTCGGGACTAATGTTCGGCAGGGCCCTGCCCAGTTCTTTCAGTAGGGGGCGATTGTTGCTGCTGCTGCTGCCGCGCGTGATGCCAACTGAATAATGTTGTGGCGTAACTCTGCAGCATTGCGACGGATGTTTTATTGGGCCCAAATTAACATTAAAAACGATTTGGCGAGGTCACCGCGACCTCCCGACCCACGCGACCAGTTGCGACGCCGTGCCCGGAGTGCGCCGCGTGACTCTCTCCCGCTGCAGGGCGAGGGGCATCACGCTGCTCCTCAGGGGGGCTGCCCCCCCCAGGACCGCGAGGTGCTGGTGGTGATCGGGGGGCGAGCGCTGCAGGAGGACGAAGAGGAGGAAGAGGAGTGGGGGGACGCGGCGCCCTCCAGGAACGCCGCCTTCTACGAGCCCACTTCGCGTGAGCGCGCTCTGTGTGTCCATGTGTCGGTGCGTGGGGAGCGGTAGTGTGTTGCTCGCTAACAGCACTTGCCCCAACGGTCTGTGAGGCTATACGGGGGATTTTTGTCTTTGTTTTTGGAGGGGTAGTGCAGCGGTTAGCACGCTGCGCTACGAACCCGACGACCGCTAACACCGATGACGATTATCCGAACCGGTCCTGGGCCTCCCTTAGGTCGACTCAGCCTCAAATGTGTAAACAACGCCGCTGGGGAGAAAACAGCGGCCAGGCGTGGTGCTGGCCATGCCGGGCTGTATGTGGTGTATACGTGTGGTGTGTGTGTGGTGTGTGTGTGTGGTGTATACGTGTGGTGTGTGTGTGGTGTGTGTGCGGCGTATACGTGTGGTGTGTGTGTGGTGTGTGTGTGCGGTGTATACGTGTGGTGTGTGTGTGGTGTGTGTGTGGTGTATACGTGTGATGTGTGGCGTGTGTGTGGTGTATACGTGTGGTGTGTGTGTGGTGTGTGCGGTGTATACGTGTGGTGTGTGTGTGGTGTGTGTGTGGTGTATACGTGTGGTGTGTGTGGTGTATGTGTGGTGTATATGTGTGGTGTATATGTGTGGTGTGTGTGTGGTGTGTGTGTGGTGTATACGTGTGGTGTGTGTGTGGTGTGTGTGTGGTGTATACGTGTGGTGTGTGTGTTGCGTGTGTGGTGTATACGTGTGGTGTGTTTGTGGTGTATACGTGTGGTGTGTGTGGTGTGTGTGGTGTATATGTGTGGTGTATATGTGTGGTGTGTGTGTGGTGTATATGTGTGGTGTGTGCGTGGTGTGTGTGTGGTGTGTGTGTGGTGTGTGTGTGGTGTTTGTGTGGTGTGTGTGTGGTGTTTGTGTGGTGTGTGTGTGGTGTGTGCGGTGTGCGCAGGAACTTGGCGTCTGCTGCCGGACTTCCCCGAGTACAACAAGTGGGGCTTCTCGGTGTGCGCCCTCAACAACAGCGTATACGTCACAGGTTGGACACGCACACCGCCACACAAAGACAAAGATCCCACGTGTAGCCTTCACCGACTGCTGGGGCATGTGCTGTTAGCGAGCACCTATGAAGGCTGGCACGGCACACGAGGGGGTGGGTGAAGAGCACCACGTCGGGCCACCTTTGTCTCCCGAGTGACGATGTTTACACACCGCACCAGGTACTCAATTGAGACTGAGTTGACCTAGAGGAGGCCCAGGACTGGTTCATGTAATCGTCACTGGTTTTGGCAGTGAGCGGGAATAGAACTCGGGTCGCCGGGTTCGTAGCGCAGCGCTACCATCACCAACATCATCATCACCATCGTCACTGACATCAACAATGTCATCTCCATCATCATCATCCCCACCGCCACCACTGGTCAATTTTAGTTTAGTGAATTTGTGTGGGGGCGGGGTGGGTGCTGTGGTGTGTGTGTAGGGGGGTCACGCGGCTCCATGCAGGACAGCTGGTCGACCACGCACGTGTGGCGCCTGAACCCCTCCGTGCGGATCTGGGAGCCTGCGACCCCGATGCTCAAACCGCGCACGAACCACTGCACCGCGGCGCTCAACGGCGACCTCTACGCGATAGGAGGTGCGGGGCAACCGTGGGCAACCCCGGGCAACTGCAGGCAACTGCGGGGAAACCGTGGGTAACCGCGGGCAACCACGGGACAACCAGGGGCAACGATGGGGCAACCCCGGACAACCGCAGGGCAACCGTGGGCACCGTCGTTCCTCCGCATGAAACCACACACAGCCACGTGCGACCTTTGTCCCCATGTGACCACGTAAATGTCGTGCAACCACGGGAGTGGTTCACAATGGCCACTACTCTTGTTCAGGCCAGGCGGCTACAGCGGCAGAGCGAGCGGCTCACAATTGGAACGTTTCGAGCTCAATTGCCGGTTGTGAGGGGTCGGTGGGGGCGTGAAAGTTGACTCAACCAATCATCCATCCGCACAAGGTCGATACAACGAGTACAAGTTTGTGTTGGGGGAAGTCAACGGCGGCCGTGTCCAACTTAAAACGCGAAGTGGGCTCGCAGAAGGCCATGCGAACGTGAAATTTCCACCACCGGCTGCACAGGAGCGGCGAACACGGGAGCCCCGGTCGCTTTCGATGAGCTCGTTCGAGCGTTGGGAAAAAAAAAAATCTCTCGACTCGATTCCCCGGCCCCGGGGCCGCAGTCCGCGCGGTTATCCGCGGCTCACGGTGGCCAGCTCCTCCCGCTCTGCCGTGCGTGTCGGGGCAGGTACGGCGTCGGGCGTGGTGGAGGCGGAGCGCTACGAACCGTACAGCGCCGTGTGGTCGCCGGTGCCGGCGCCGCCGCGCTTCGTCAGCAACTTCACGGCGAGCGGGTGCCGGGGCCGCCTCTACCTGGTGGGGTCGTGCGCCGCCAAGTACAACGCCCTCGCCCTACAGAGATACAGCCCCATCACGGGTGAGAGAGACTCAGAGGGGTTCGTGTTGCGGCTGTGGTTTCCGCGTCTCTCCCAGCGTCTCCGCGTGTCTCCCCGCATCTCCCCGTGTCTCGTTACCCCGTGTCTCCACGTGTCTCCCCGCATCTCCCCGTGTCTCCCCGCATCTCCCCGTGTCTCGTCTCCCTGTGTCTCTCTGCGTCTCCCCGTGTCTCGTCACCCCGTGTCTCCACGTGTCTCCCTGCATCTCCCCGTGTCTCCCCGCATCTCCCTGTGTCACCTGGCATCTTCCAGCATCAACCCCGCTTGCCCCCCCCCCCCGCCGCCCTAGACTGCTGGAGCGTGGTGGCATCACCCTTCATCCCGCGGTACCTCTCCTCCCCGCGCTGCGTCACAATGGACGATGTCATCTACCTGCTGGCCGACAACACCAAGAAGACGTACCTGTACGACCCCGACGCCAACATGTGGCGCAAGGTGAGGCCCGCTAACGCTGCAGGCGTGTGCGTCGGTTGTGTCTGCGTGGGGGGTGGTGGCTATACGGGGGATCTTTGTCTTTGGAGTGGTGGCGCAGCAGTCAGCGTCCTGCGCTACAAACCTGCCGACCCAATTTCTTAGCCTTGACAGAGTTTTGGGGCAAGTGCTGTTAGCGAGCGCGTATGGAGGCTGGAACGGCACACGAGTGGGTGGGTGGCCAGCGCCACGCCCGACCGCCTTTGTCTCCCTAGTGACGATGTTTACACATCGCACCAGGTACTCATTTGAGGCTGAGTCGACCTCAGGGAGGCCCAGGACCAGTTCAGTTAATCTTCACCGGCGTTGGTGGCCGTGAGCGGGAATCGAACTCGGGACGCCGGGTTCGTAGCGCAGCGAGCTAACCGCTACACTCCCTATGCACCCCCTCCCCCATGCCCCGACAACACACACGCACACACGCGCGCGTGCAGGTGCAGCTGAAGCACAGCCTGCACGAGAACGGGGGGCTGGCGGTGGTGGGGGGCCGTCTCTACGTGACGGGCGGCCACTGGCAGGGCCTCGAGGGCCTCTACCGCGTGCTCATGGAGTCGTGCGAGGCGCGGCTCCGCGCGGCCACGTGGAGCCGCGAGGGGGCGCTGCCCCGCGCGTGGCTCTTCCACGACGCCTGCGCCGTCTTCGTCAACGTGGCCGCGTGGCCCCACGTGCTCCTACACGTGGGGCCCGAGCAGAGCGGCTGACGGCCGCGGTGGCTGGGGGGGGGGTGCAGGGGGGGGGGGGTGCAGGTGGTGGGTGTAGGGGGTGTGAAGGGGGGGTACCAGGGTAGATTTTTTACATCGTCGGGTGGTGAGAGGCGGTTGTGGCGGCAGCGACTTGCGGGAGGAGGCCGTTCATCCAGCAGTGGATTGACCGTGGCTGATTGATGACGATGGCGGTGTACGTTTAACTTCTTTCGCGCCGTACGTAGTCAACCGTGCTAATTGGAGGTACGGGGGAAGGACAACAAATTAAACACAAAAGTAGTTTTAAATAAATAATATTTCCATAAATGGTGGTGGTGAAGCAGTTTGTTGTCCTTCCCACACGCACCTCCGATTAGCACGGTTGGCTATGTACGATACGAAAGAAGTTCAACACGTACCGTGCATTCGTGCGATACCTAAAGAACTTGAGGGGGTGAGGTCACTGCTGGCAGGCCACGTGGCGGCCTGACGTCACTGTGGTGAACTCGTGCCTGACATCACAGTGGTGAACCCGTGCCTGACGTCACTGTGGTGAGCCCGTGCCTGATGTCACTGTGGTGAACCCGTGCCTGACATCACTGTGGTGAACCCGTGCCTGACGTCACTGTGGTGAGCCCGTGCCAGACGTCACTGTGGTGAACCCGTGCCTGACGTCACTGTGGTGAACCCGTGCCTGAAGTCACTGTGGTGAACCCGTACCTGACGTCACTGTGGTGAGCCCGTGCCCTTGTCACGCGTGGGTTTCTCGGTCCGCCGTAGTCGCCGCTGCTCGTGGCGACCTTCATTGTTGTGCTGTCGCTTTCGGAGGTAACCCCCCTGCCCCCCTCCTCCTTTCATTCTCTCCCCCCACCCCCCAGTTTCCTCCCCCCACAAATAATTACCTTTTTTACCGGGCACCTATACAAGGAGGCCATCATTTTGCCAAATATAATCGTTACGGAATGTAAATATTGGTGTGAGTAGCGCTGAGACTGGCGTGCGGCACCGTGTGTGTGCGCGCGCGCGCGTGTGAGGAGCGGTGGCGCAGCAGTTGGCACCACCGCTAACTCCTGCCACGGCTCGCGTCAGTGGCGAGCGACCTCTGAACCGCTCCCGATGTCCTCCCGTGAGGTCGACTTGGCCTTAAGTAACGACGTGGTGCATTTGTGTGTCGAGTGAAACTTCGGCGGCACCGCTGGAGACAAAGGTGGCTGGGCATTGTGCTGGGCCACACTCCCGTCCCTCCGTGCTCCCCTCAAATAGGCGCTCACTCGCCCCCGACAGTGCAATATCACGGAGATCTTCGTGTCTGTGTGCGTGTGTGGACTGGTAATGTGGGGAGCGGTGGTGTAGCGGTTAGCGCTACGCTGCGCTACGAACCTGGCGACCCGGGTTCGATTCCCGCCCACGGCCAACACCGGTGACGATTATCTTAACCGGTCCTGGGCCTCCCCTAGGTCGACTCAGCCTCAAAATGAGTACCCGGTGCGATGTGTAAACATCGCCACTGGGGAGACAAAGGCGGTCGGGCGTGGTGCTGGCCATCCACCCCCTTTGTGTGCTGTGCCGGCCTGCATAGGTGCTCGCTAACAGTACTTGCCCCTACAGTTTGTTAAGGCTATACGGGGGATCCTTGTCTTTGAACTGGTACTGGGCCTCCCCTATGTGAACGAAGCCTCAAGTGAGTACCTGGTGCGGTGTGTAAACATCCCCACTGGAGAGACAAAGGCGGGCGAGCGCGGTGTTGGCCACCCACCGCCTCGTGCGTCTTGCCGGCCTTCGTGAGTTCTGCTCGCTTACGGCACTTACCCCAAACGGTCCGCAAAGGCTACACGGGGGATCTTTGTCTTTGTGTGTATCTGTGTGATTGTACCGTGCACTCCACCACGACGTGCACGCGTGATGTTGATTTCATGACGATGCCGACGACGACTTTGGCTCGGCGGTCGCGGGTTTCAACTCCTGGCTTGCCATAAGAACGAGGAATTTCCACCGCTCGCCGCTCAGGGCTGTTACGCGGGATTTTGAGTTACTGTCTCGACCCTCATTTCTTGAGCAGGAAATCACTTTGTAACCGTGACATTTTCTTTGGTGACGATGTCGATTTTCACGATGTGAATATTGATAATGGTAGATTCGATGACGGCAGTGATCGATACGATGACGTCACTATAATACTTTTTTTTTATTTGTCTCTGGTGACTCCAAATATTTTTAATTGCTCAAATAAAAATCTCTAAAGGTAAAAAAAATGTTTTCACAAACTAAGCTTAAGCAGATTAACTTAGGGAGTCCAACCGGGTGGGGGCGCCGCGGTGTCGAGACGTTAACTCCATCGCCTGGTATGCAAGAGGTCGTGGGTTCGATCTCGACCCTGACATCTGCTGCTGTATATTTGGACTTTGCGTGTCTCTCTTCCCGTGGTCGCGTGGATTTTTCTCCGGATTCTCCGGTTTTGCCCTCCACATTTAGAGTATTTTTGCTGCTATAAATTTCCACGCGATGTTAAGCCACTCGTTGAAGCTATCATTTGTGGCCAGGTCGCTTCTGAAACAGAGCTGTACAGCTTAGTAGGCCTTACCTGGTAAAATAAAATCGTTTGTAGTTCATTTGTGTTTAAGGCCCTCCCGTGAGGACCCCTCGCGTCCACAAGGGGGCGCCGAGTACTCACCTGGCCTGGCGAGTGGGTGAGTGGTTCAGGGAGTTGAGTGGGTGAGAGGTTCAGGTAGGTGAGTGGGTGAGCGGGTGAGTGGTTCAGGTAGGTGAGTGGAGCGGGTGAGTGGTTCAGGTAGGTGAGTGGGTGAGCGGGTGAGTGGTTCAGGTAGGTGAGTGGAGCGGGTGAGTGGTTCAGGTAGGCGAGTGGGTGAGCGGTTCAGGTAGGTGAGTGGATGAGCGGGTGAGTGGTTCAGGTAGGTGAGTGGAGCGGGTAGGTGGGTGAGTGCGATAGGTGAGTGGGTGGGTAAGTTGAGGTGAGTGGGTGAGTGTGTCCAGAGTGGGTGGATTTTTTGTTGAGTGAATGGGTGAGTTAGAGAGTGCGTCGATGGATCGGATCGTCAGTGAATAAGCGAGTGGGTGGATTGGTTGGTGAGATGATGAGTGAGTGGGTGAGCGAGTGGTGGGTGAGTGGAAGCGTGAGTGGGTTAGTGGATTGGTTTGTGCGTGGGTGAGTTAACGGGTGAGTGGATTTGTGTTGATTGGTGAGTAAATGGGGAGGATTGGATGGAGAGTGGGTGGGAGTATTATTGGGTGGGTGATTTGAAGAGGAGGTGAGTAGGTGAGTGGGTAGGTGAGGTGGATGAGCTGTAGCTAGAGATGGGAGGATGATGGATTGGGGTGAGTCTGCGCCACACTGCTGTTGTTAGTGAGTGGGTTGGTGGATAAGTTGAGTGAGATAGGTGATAGGGTGGTAGCTGAGTGAGGTAGGTGGGTGGGTAGCTGAGTGAGGTAAGCGAGTGGGTGGGTAAGTTGAGTGAGGCGGGTAAGTAAATTGAGTGAGGTAGGTGAGTGGGTAGCTGAGTGAGGTAGGTGAGTGGGTGGGTAGCTGAGTGAGGTGGGTAAGTTGAGTGAGGTGGGTAAGTTGAGTGAGGTGGGTGAGTAAATTGAGTGAGGTAGGTGAGTGGGTAGCTGAGTGAGGTGGGTGAGTGAGGTAGGTGAGTGGGTGGGTAGCTGAGTGAGGTAGGTGAGTGAATTGAGTGAGGTAGGTGTGGGTGACTGAGTGAGGTAGGTGAGTGGGTAGGTAGATGGGTAAGACAGATGTGGGTGAGATGGGAGGAGGAGGAGGCGGGACCGTGGTTGCTCACTCCGCGTGTTTAAAAGAGGAGGAGGGGAGGCTGGAACTCAGAGCTCGGTGATGGTGGCAGTGATGTTTGCTGCGTTTGGAGGCTACATCTACAATATCACAAGCGTACACCTTCGTGCTTGATTAACTAATTCAACAATTGATTCGCCCGTGAGTCAATTGCCTCGGACTCGGAGGGAACTCGGCCCTCAAACACCCCCCCCTCCCCCCACACCGCGCGGGGCAGAGCGGAGGAGGAAGACCCGGAGTGGATTTACCCCTCGAGGCAAACAGGACCCCGACGAGGTGAATGGCGCGCTGAGGAGGTGGACGAGAGGCTGTAGGAGGCGAAACGAGAAGCTGACGAGGTGGACCAGAGTCGTCGTCGTCGTCCCCCCACCCCCGCCCTGGATGAGGTGCGGACAATGAGGGCAAGAGGAGGTCCCCTACTGCTGGTGCTGGCCACGCTGGTGGGGCCAGCGGTCTGTGAGGCCGCGCGGGGAGATGGAGCCGCGGGTGGAGGAGGTGGAAGAGGTGGAAGGGGCGACGGAGGAGGTGGGAGAGGAGACGGAGGAGGTGGGAGAGGAGACGGAGGAGGTGGGAGAGGAGACGGAGGAGGTGGAAGAGGAGACGGAGGAGGTGGGAGAGGAGGGAGGACAAGAACCAGGACGGCGACGATGAATCGCGACCTCGCAGCGTTACAGCAGAGGACGGAGATGGGGAACGGCACGGGGGGCGCCGAGGTGAGAGTGTGGGGAGAGTAAAGAGAGAGTGTGGGGAGAGTAAAGAGAGAGTGTGGGGAGAGTAAAGAGAGAGTGTAGGGAGAGTAAAGAGAGTGTGGGGGAGAGTAAAGAGAGAGTGTGGGGGAGAGTAAAGAGAGAGTGTGGGGAGAGTAAAGAGAGTGTGGGGAGAGTAAAGAGAGAGTGTCGGGAGAGTAAAGAGAGAATGTGGGGGAGGGTAAAGAGAGAGTGTGGGGAGAGTAAAGAGAGAGTGTGGGGGAGAGTAAAGAGAGAGTGTGGGGGAGAGTAAAGAGAGAGTGTGGGGAGAGTAAAGAGAGAGTGTGGGGGAGAGTAAAGAGAGAGTGTGGGGAGAGTAAAGAGAGAGTGTGGGGAGAGTAAAGAGAGAGTGTGGGGGAGAGTAAAGAGAGAGTGTGGGGAGAGTAAAGAGAGAGTGTGGGGAGAGTAAAGAGAGAGTGTAGGGAGAGTAAAGAGAGAGTGTAGGGAGAGTAAAGAGAGAGTGTGGGGGAGAGTAAAGAGAGAGTGTAGGGAGAGTAAAGAGAGTGTGGGGGAGAGTAAAGAGAGTGTGGGGGAGAGTAAAGAGAGTGTGGGGAGAGTAAAGAGAGAGTGGGGAGAGTAAAGAGAGAGTGGGGAGAGTAAAGAGAGTGTGTGGGGGAGAGTAAAGAGAGAGTGTGAGGGAGAGTAAAGAGAGAGTGTGGGGGAGAGTAAAGAGAGAGCGATGTGTTTGGATAGGTCTGCAATATGAGAGGGAGACGATCTGGGGCTTAATGAGGAATCTCCCTGCATGAACGATGCTGATCCCTCTCTCTCTCACTACACCACACACACGCACACCACACTCACCACACCATTCACCAACCCCACACTCACCACATCACACACCACACACACACCCCACACTCACCACACTCACCACACACACACCCCACATTCACCACACACACTACACACCACATCACACACCACACACACACACGCACACCACACACACGCACACCACACTCACCACATCACACACCACACACACATACACGCACACCACACTCACGCACACCACACTCGCCACACTCACCACATCACACACCACACTCACCACACACACCACACACACGCACATCACACACACACCACACACACATCACACACCACACACACCACACACACGCACATCACACACACACCGCACACACTACCCACACCACACACACGCACACATTCGTCCCCCGTGTTGCCCGTAGAAGGTGGACCCGCGAGGGAGCTGGGTCAACTTCATCACGCACTCGGAGCAGCAGCAGCAGCAGCACGTGAAGCAGCAGCAGCAGGTGGTGCGGCGCAGGGGCATGAAGCAGGTGATGGTGGCGGTGATGGTGGAGATAGGGGTGGTGAAGATGGTGGTGGCAGTAGCGGTGATGATGGTGGTGAAAATGGTAGTGGCGGTGGTGGTGGTGGAGATGGTGGTGGTGAAGATGGTAATGGTGGTGAAGATGGTGGTTTGAAGAGATGGTGTGGTGGTGGTGGCGGTGGCTGCAGTGGTGGTGGAGATGGTGGTGGTAAAGATGGTGGTGGCGGTGGTGGTAATGGAGAATATGGTGGAGGAGATGATGGTGGTGAAAATGGTAGTGGCGGTGGTGGTGAAGATGGTGGTGGTGGTGATGGTAGTGGAGATGGTGGTGGAGATGGTGGTGGAGATGGTGTAGATGGTGATGGTGGTGGTGGTGTAGATGGTGGTTGTGGAGATGTTGGAGATGGTGGTGGCGATGGTAGTGTTGTAGATGGTGGTTGTGTAGATGGTGGTGACACAGTAGGGGGCACAGGTGGTGCATCGGCCAGTCATCTCAGTCAGTCGACCCGTGGCACCTGGGTCTGCCTCGTGACCTCCTGCCAGCGGGCGTTTGACACTTCACGTGGCCTCAACGTGCACGTAGCCTGGCACGAGCGCAGTGGTGACGTCACCGCCACTTAGTGGTGAATGACTGTTGTTATTGGTGGTGGTGGCGATGGTTGTGGAGATGGTGGTGGAGTGTGTACTGCAGCGTTCTTCATTGCAAGGCCCGCAAGCCACTAGCGGCCCCTGGTGGCCTTAGTGCGGCCCCATCATCATCGTGCTGCTGTTACAGACCCCCAATGGTTTCGAATAGCGCGGCGGCTCTCGCCACACTGATGATGTCTTATCGGCGAAAGTGGCCACCCCCTCTGAAAATTAGTGAAGAACACTGGGCTAGTGCAACGGTTAGCTCACTGCGCTACGGATCCGGCTACCCGAGTTCACTTCCCGCTCATGGCCAACACCAGTGACGATTATCTAAATGGGTTCTAGGCCGCCTCTAGGTCGACTCAGCCTCAAATGAGTACCTGGTGCAGTGTGTAAACATCGCTACTAGGGAGACAAAGGCGGCCAGGCGTGGTTTGGGCCACCCATCCCCTCATGTGCTGTGCCGGCCTTCATAGGCTCTCGCTAACAGCACCTGCCCTAACAGTCTGTTAAGGCTATACGGAGGATCTTTGTCTTTGATGGCAGTGGTGATGGTAATAATGATCGTGGTGGTGATGGTGATCGTGATGGTGGGGATGATGATGGACGTGATGGTAACGATGATGGCAATAATAATAATGATAGTGATGATGGTTTAATACATTTTGATTTAAAGCTTTCGTGACTGCAAGGATTCATATTCTTGCTTCTTTTGGTAAAGTTGCGTAGAAGGGAAACAATAAAATAATAAATAAATAAATTCTCACGACGTTTCGACTGCAGCACAAGCAATCATCATCATCAGGTGTGAAAACCACAGCAAGAAGTTTTCACACCTGATGATGATTGCTTGTGCTGCAGTCGAAACGTCGTGAGAATTTTATTGTTTTATATTTTTATTAATTTATTGTTTCGCTTCTACGTGGTTTAATACATGTGATGGCATCTCAAGACGCTGTGTACATGAACAGAAAACGTTAATTTTCTAGAGAGGAAGTCCTGGGCCGAGGAGGCGAGGAAGGTCTCGAGGATGAACTTGAATTGTAGCAGGGAACCGACAGCACGGGTGTCTGAATGAAAGACAATTCGGACCCTGGGGGGCAGCAGAGGAGAAGAAGCGACATCCCATTGGGACAAGGTTGAGTGGGGACTTCGACAGAAACTCTTGGTTGGGGCAGTTGAGATTGTGGAGTGGAGTAGAGTGAGATGAGAGGGGAGAGGTAGGCGAATGTGTGGAGGGGAGCAGAGTGAGATGAGAGGTAGGAGAGTGTGTGAAGGGGAGTGGAGTGAGATGAGAGGGGAGTGGTGGGAGTGCGTGGAGGGGAGTAGAGTGAGATGAGAGGGGAGAGGTAGGAGAGTGCGTGGAGGGAAGTAGAGTGAGATGAGAGGGGAGTGGTGGGAGAATATGTGAAGGGGAGTAGAGTGAGATGAGGCGGGGTAGTCCAGGGAGGATCTTGTAGACTAGGTGCAATCTTGCATCAGATCTGTGGATTTAATTTGGAGTCCGTGGAGGGATTTGTGTAATTTTGTGATGTGGTAATGTCAGTGACAAAGATGTTGCTACAAGGAGACTGGTCCCTGTCATAGTAATGTGGAATGTCCACCACTGGTTCTGGGCTGCCAACTGCACAGCCTCACGTTCATTTGATCAGGGTCAACATTTGACCTTCGACCTTTAAAAAGTACTCTGATGATGGTTCTGATGAAGGTGATGTCTGATGGTTGTGATAAAGATGACCACATTTGATGATGGCGGTATTATTTGGTGATAATATAATAGATGATGATGGTCATGGCGATGTCTGATAATGGCAGTGATGATGCTGGTGAAGACAATTAGATCTTAAATTATTTATTTATCCCTCTGCTTCCTCCAGGCGGGTCCCCCTGGACCCCCAGGCCCCAGTGGCCCCCCTGGGCCCCCTGGACCCCCTGGGCCCCCCGGGCCCTCGATCACCCAGGAAGCTCTGCTCAAGGAGTTTGGTGGACTGATCAGAGGTGAGTGGACGCGAGGTCTCCGCGATGTCTTGGCTCGCGACGTAATCGCTTCTCCCCAGCGCTCGGCCTCTCGGCAGCGGAGGTCCTGGGCAGCCACTGTCTCCGTCCTCTCTTCATTTGGCGAGATGTTAACTACCTCACCTGGTATGTAGGAGGTTGTGGGTTCTATCCCGACGCTGATGCCTGTATATTTGGAGTTTGCGTGTCTCTCTCCCCGTGGTCCCATCGATTTTTCTCCAGGTTCTGCGGTTTTCCCTCCACATTTAGAATCAACATCACGCTTTTAATTGGCTGCTATAAATTCCACATGATGATAAGCCACTTCGTTGAGCTATCATTTTTGACCAGGTTGCTTCTGAAAAAGAGCTATGTAGCTCAGTGGGCCTTACCTGATAAAAGGAAATGAAAATGTTTCGTTTAGTAAAAAATCAAAAATAATTTTGGTATATTTCCACCAGCGCCACCCTTCCTTCATCTCCTCGAGCAACCGAATCGTCGGGCCTCCATCTCACCCTCACCGCTTCCGTTCTTCTCCCGTGGCGTCCTTGTTCGTCAACCCGACCGCTCGTGGGTTGCATCCAAACCCAGCTCTGCCCTCGCTCTCTCTCCTTCCGATGAATTCCGGTCATCGCTCTTCTGTCGTTGATGCCCTTCGCAATGTCTCCGTTGGTCTACTTCTGGGCCAGCTCACTCTCGGCACCATCCCTCCTCCACATCCCCATCACGAATTGCAAACCGAAAATTATTAAAAACTAATTGCTGTTTTATTGATAAACTCGGATCAATGGTTGAGTTTGTCATTTCCTCGAATATTTTTCCAGGAATTTAAGTATTACCGCAGAAATCAAATGACGCTCGATGATGGTGATGCAACGAGCGTGAAATCGGACGTTGCGATTATCGCGGTTCTTGCACCGCACGATGAATCGTAGCGTCGCTACGACAACCGCAGACTATGCACGACCCTGCAACCTCCCGACCTCCCGTGTGACCTTCCCGTAACTTCTCTGCAAACTCACTGTGACCTTTGACCCTGCCCGTGTCCCTTGATCTCCCTTGTATGACCCTTCCGTGAGCTTTCTGTGACACCCCTGTGACCCTCCTTTGACCTCCCTGTGACCCATCTATGACTGTCCCCCCCCCCCCCCGTGACCCCTTTGCGACCCCGGCTCCCCGTGACCCCTAGATGCGGCGCGACGGCGAGCGTCGCTCCTCCTCCACGAGAGCTGCCCCGAGTGCGAGCCGCTCCCCTCGCTGGGACCCCCGCACAGAGGGGGGCCCGACCTCCTCCCCCTCCTCGGAGAGGCGAGGCCCCCCCTCCCACGTGCCAGGGGGCCCGGCGCCCCTCCTTCGTCACCCCTCCTGCTGCAGGAGGCGTTTCACTGCAAGCTGAGCGCGGCGCTGAGCGTGAGGAAGAGGTCGGCCAAACAGCTCCACGGGTTCCACACGGTGAGGGAGAGACCACCTCGTCGCTCCTCCTCCTCCTCATCACTCCACCTCTTTGCTCTGTCTGGTCACTCCACCTCGTTGCTCCACCACATTCCACCTCATCGCTCCTTGGCATTACTCAACCTGGTTGCTCCACCTCGTCGCTCCCCCTGTCTCTCGTACTTCGTCAACGTCGAAAAGATTCCCTGATCAAATGACTCTCAAAGATTATCGAGGCAGCCACCTCTCACCCTCGGTGACCTACACACACCCTCTCCTCGGTGTGCCGAGACCAGGTCCTGGAGAGGATTCATTCACGTCTATGACCGTCGTGTGTCGTTTGTGTGTCTGTATGTGCAGCCCGTAGGCCAGGGTGCGTTTGTGCGAGGGGGAGGCATGGATCTGACGAGGGGCCGATTCACGGCACCCGTCGCCGGCATCTACCAATTAGCGGCTCACGTACACCTCGGTAACGAGCCGCCATCCCTCCACTCAGCCCCCCCCACCCCCTCCACACAGCCCCCCCCACCCCCTCCACACAGCCCCCCCCACCCCCTCCACTCAGCCCCCCCCACCCCCTCCACACAGCCCCCCCCACCCCCTCCACACAGCCCCCCCCACCCCCTCCACACAGCCCCCCCCACCCCCTCCACTCAGCCCCCCCCACCCCCTCCACTCAGCCCCCCCCACTCCCTCCACACAGCCCCCCCCACTCCCTCCACACAGCCCCCCCCACCTCCTCCACACAGCCCCCCCCCCACCCCAACTTTCACATTCACGCACGTGACCCGCATCCTATCACTGAACAATAAGAACTAATGAATTGCTTTATTTTGTATTGCCTCATCGTTCATGCAAATTTGCGCCTCGAATCGCTTGTAATTATTTTGTTGTTTTGAGGATTAAATGTTGCTTCTCGTCCAAGTTTTAACGTTTCTTTTTCAACGGATAAAGGTGAAAAGATTGGGAGCACATCCCCTACTCTACACACACACACACCTGCCCCCCTACACCCTTCATACTTCACCCACCTCACTCACCTGCTCCCCACTCCCCACAGAGCGGACGGAGGGGAAGAATAAGGGTCGGAGTTCACGGGGTCGTGAGGTCGCGCGTGTCCTCGTCTGCGTTGACGCCCTCTGCCCCCAGCACAGGTGAGAGAAATGACCCCTGACCTATATACACGACCCCACAAAGTTCACGGGAGTCTAAGCAAGGAGAATAGGGTTTTAACGAGGTCACTGGGATCAACCTGGCGATGTTGAAATGACGTGGAACCAAAATGCGACCAGGCAAAAGAGACGGATACTTTTTTTCAGGTGAACTTCTTTCGCACCGTACGTAGCCAACCGTGCTAATCGGAGATGGCAGAACCCGATGGGTGAGCAAACGAAGCTCTTTATTCCCCGAGGTCATTGACGCGAGTGCAGAGCAGAATCGGACGAAGGAGCCCTTGCGCACCCCACTGCGAGCACGCTTTGCGATCGGGAGAAGTTCCATGGGCGGAAACGCCGTCGATTTGAACACGAGTTTAGAGTATTTCGCCACTATACATTGCCACATGATAAGCCGTTTCATTGGGCTATCGTTTGTGGCCAGGTCACTTCTGAAAGAGAGCTATATACAGCTCAGTGGGGCCTTACCTGGTCAAATGAAATAATAATTTAGTTTATATTGACGCCACTCACTTGGGGACGCTCTGAGAGGCGCAGTCCCGAAAGCCATCTGGTTCACCGCACAGCCATCTGGTTCACCGCACAGCCCTCTGAATGCCGTGGGTTGACCCAAGTCCGGCTAAGTGAGACGACGCTCACGGCCCAGCGTCCGGAAGGCTTTTCTCCGACGGACGCGTGAACATATATACCCGTGCACACGACCGTCGCGGGCCCGTTTGGTCTCCAGGTCACTGTGAAGAACCTCGTTGAACGCATCCCCTGCCGCTGCCGTAGAGTTGTAGCTCCTTTCGCGACGCTTCAACAACGTGTGGGCCTTTCGTCTAACAATGTTAAGATTAAGGCAAATGTTGTTGTGTCGTGCACCCTCCTTCACCCGACGCGGCCAATTAATGAAGTTGTTAATGCGGGGTTCCTACCGCCGGCTCTGCGGGGGGCTGTAAGCAGCTGATGAGCACCACCGGCACTGCCGCCACCGCGATGTTCCGTTTGGGCAGGAAATCGCTCGCTCTCTCTAACATCGAGTTAATCGGGTAAAACAAATAAATAAATGTACACATATTTATATACACGCATGTATATAAATAAATGCCACCCTCCCTCTCCGAGCCTTTGAAGATGAGATTTTGTCAAAACAAAACAACTCGATAAACAAATCCGCAAGTGAACAAAAACAAACCAACCTCTCCCTCCTCTTCAGACAGACGCCGCCCCCCCCCCAACGTATCCTGGGGGTGAGTTTGTGGGGTAGGGGGGTGAGTAAGGAGTAGATGGTGAGGGTTATGGGAGTGTGGGTTACAGGGGTGGGTGAGGAGTAGATGGTGAGGGTTATGGGAGTGCGGGTTACAGGGGTGGGTGAGAGGTAGATGGTGAGGGTTACGGGGGTGGGTGAGGAGTATTTGGTGAGGGTTACGGGGGTGGGTGAGGAGTATATGGTGAGGGTTACGGGGGTATTGTAGTGGTGAGCGCGCTTCGCTACGAAACCCGGCAACCAGCGCTCGATTCGCGCTCACGGCCAACACCAGTGACGAATATATCTGTGCCGGTTCTAAGCCTTCCCTAGATCGACTCGGCCTTAAATGAGTACCCGGTGCGGTGTGTAAACAGCACTGGGGAGACCAAGGCGGCCGTGCGTGGTGTTGGCCACTCACCCACCATCTCGTGTGCCTTGCTCATATTCAAAGGTGCTCACGAACAGCACTTGCCCTAACAGTCTGTTGAGGCTATTTGGGGGATATTTGTCTTGGATGTTGGTGGTCGTGGTGATGATTATACGTGGTGGTGGTGGTGGTAGTGGTGACGATAGTAATATTGCAAGTCTTCATAGGTGCTTGCTGACGGCACTTGCCCCAACCCTCTGTTAAAGGCTACACGGGCGATCTTTGTCTTTGCAGCTCCCTGGAGGGGCGTGCGGGGATGGAGGGTCGCTCTCTCTCCATGTTCGCCAGTGGCCTCCTGCAGCTCCAGGTACCTCCAGCCGCTCGGCTCCCCTACCTTGTGCTGCACAGGGACAGCTGCCACTAGGGGGCGGGGGGGAGGTCCCTTGCCTACACAGCAGCAAGGCATTGAAATTCTCTCGTGCCATCCAGCCCCGTTGATATGGAGGCTGCTGGACTCGCCAAATATCTGTCAGGAGCAGCATCAGCCATCCTCCACTGTTGGTGGGGGTGGCCACTTCCTCTCATGTCACATTTGCAGATAAACTCTAAATGTTCAGATCAAGTGAAATGTTGTATCTCGGCCAGATTTTGTTTTATTTGTATTATTGTGGATTAATCTGAAAATTGAACACATTCCACATATACACACCCTGCTCTGCAATCCGTGTGTGCATATTAGGGTTGTTAAAGTTGTTTAGCGTTACCAATAACCGCAGGAAAAACTACGGTAAGAGATGGGTGACCGGTTTGCTGCAGAAATATAAATTAGTTATCGGTTAAAATCCGTGATGAATATCTGATCCGATACACGGCCTCCCCAAGGTCGACACAACCAAAAATTGAGTAGCTACCTGGTACAGTGTGGAAACGTCTATCTCCGGGGAGACAAAGTCGGCCAAGCGTGGTGTTAACCACCACCACTCCTTCGTGCGCCATTCCGACCTCAATCGGTGCATGCTAACAGCACTTGCCCCAAAAGTATATTGAGACTATACGGGTGATCTTTGTCTCTGTGTGTGTGCAGGCTGGGCAGCAGGTGACCGTCTTGGTAGAGAACGGCTTTGGCAGCGAGATCACTGTGCGCAACGAATCCAGTTTCGGCGGCGTGCTGATGGGTGTGTGATGACGAGTCCTTCTCATCACGATCTCCTCACCACCTCCTCGCCCTCACCCCTACCACCACCATCACCACGGAAGGGGGGTGCCAACGATGGCGAAAACACAGGAGCAACAACTAACCAACGTTCGCTGTTAAGTGACGGTGACGTCGCCACCGTTTGTGCCAGGCTAGGTGCACTTTGAGACTCGTGCGCAAAGTGTAAGGCCCACCAGCAGGTCACCGGACAGACCCAGGAGCCATGGGTTGACTGACTGAAACGACTGGCAGATGCAATAGTTGTGCCTCCCACTGTGCCACCTCGCCGCGTTTTATCTGCCCGGCGCTCCGCTCGTTGTTGTGAGCGTCGCTCCCCTGCCCTCCGCTGCTGTTGGGGGGCGACTGCCTCAACTACCCAGCAGCGTCCTTCACGAGCCTCCTCCATAGAGGCCGATCTTGACATCGCTGGTACCAGTCATTCACACAAAGAGAACTATTTCACATATAGCCTTCGAGACGAGACACAAGTCCTATTAGCGAGTGCCTATTATGGCTGGGATGGCGCACGCTGGGTGGACAGCACCGTGCCTGGCCCACTTTGCTGATTTTTATGCACTGCAGCAGCTACTCGTATAAGGTTGAGTCGACCTAGGTGAGGCCCAGGACTGATTACGATATCACTTGCACCTCATTTTTTTGTCAGAAGGGAGGCGAACTCCAGTCACTGGGTTCACAGTGCGGTGCACTAACCACTGCGCCACCGCTCCACCTGTTGGTCGCACACGCAGCACTGAAACTCCGCGGTGCTTGTGCCATGCTAGGTACACACACAGTTATTTGCACGTGATGGTAAATCGACAGTCTGCCTGTTTAGAACCAACAATGTAGCAGTGCTCGTCAACTTTTGATGACCCCAAGTGGTGGAAATTCCACATTCCCATGGCGGGGACCAGTTAGTCATAATTGCAACTGTTGACTTCCCACAAAGTGGTACTAATTGTATCGATCCCGGATAGATGATTGCCTTAGATTGAGCCGCATGTGAAAATAGTTTGGGTTCGGGATAGAGGCAGGGGCGGAGCCAGGATTTTGACTTTGGGGGGGCTGACTTCAATATTCTGAGATATCCAGTGTTTATGTTTTCCAATGGGCGCCACAAATGTATAAAACAAATTTTATTGGATTTGAACGCGGAGTTTATTAATAGGTCGGAGCCGCTGATGTGGCTAATAAGTTCGATAAGTTCGAAAGGCTGCCGCTCAAGCAGCCTGCAGGGCAGCACAAGGTGGCAGCCTGCAGGGCAGCACACGGTAGATCCTGCAGGGCAGCACAAGGTGGCAGCCTGCAGGGCAGCACAAGGTAGCAGCCTGCAGCATTTTGCAGCAGCCAGATATCTGGTTATCCCGATTACCGACTTTCCCAAAATTTCAGGGGGGGCTGAGCCCCCCCAGCCCCCCCCTGTGACTCCGCCCCTGGATAGAGGTAGGGTTGGTGTTGGGGGTTACTTTAAGTGTTAGGTAAGGTGAGTGCTAGGGGTTACTTTTAAGTGTTAGGGATAGAGGTAGGGTTAGTGTTAGTGGCAACGAACTTTTTATTTTACCAGGTAAGGTCCACAATGAACTATATAGATGAACTATATTGCCCTTTTTGAGAAGTGATCTCGCCACAAATGATAGGTCAACGAAGTTGAAACTTTTAGCAGCCAAATACTCAGAACGTGTGATGTTGATTCTAAATTTGAAGGGAAAACCCGGAGAACCCGGAGAAAAATCCACGCGACCACGGGAGAGGGACACGTAAACTCGAAATATACAGCAGCAGGCGTCAGGGTCGAGGTCGAACCCACGGCCTTCGGTATACCAGGCGAGGTCATTAAAATCTCGCCACCGTGGCGTGAGGGATAATGGATGGTGGTGTGGGTGTCGTCTTTCGACCATACTCCACCACACTGGGCCACGTGCGTGGGTCGGTGAAGACGGGAAGCATGCGCGGGTGCCGATATCGCTCGCCACCGACGCTGGCCGTGGCCGGGAATCGAACTCGGGGTCGGCGGGTGCTCGGCACAGTGGGGGTCACCGCTGCCCTCTCTTTTGTTTTAAATTACGATTATTATTTGTGTTAATATTATTGTTTATAATTAATATCGATGACCTTACTGCCTATTTTATTGTGTTTTTTGATGTAAATCTGTTCTTAGCGTGGGTCACGTGAACTTTGATGAATGATGCGAGTGGATGTTACACGTGATACATTAAATTGGTATCTATACGTCCGCGTGATTGGTCAATGCGTGGTGCTGGGGTTGGGGGGGTATTGCTGCTGCTTTCGCCACACTTCGCCATCGCCGCCTTCCTTCTGCCAGATCCCCACAATTTGTTGCAAAGTGAGCACCTGATATCCCAAAGCACCGCTTCCAAGTCCCATCACCGACCACCTGGCTGCAGGCCTTGCCACTTGTGTACACAGCACGAGGCGTGGTGGGGCGTGCTGTTGTCATTGGTGAGACGATGGCCCTTGTGTACTCTCGCCGAACATGGACCAAAAGTAGCCTCGCTCGACTTGTTGACGTCCAATTGTGCGCTGGAATGCGGCTGCATCACTGGGACCCTCAAGTCGACCCCAACACCCTGGCTGACCGTGCTGACACAAACCTCGTCCCGGGAAGTCCTGCGAATCCAGAAAACGGTGACCTTCCCATTCACCAGGACCTCAATGACGTCCCTCGTCATCGCTTCAAGTCATGCCAAGCCCCTTTTGGACCCATGTGCTTAACCTTAAACAATGCGAATTCAATCCCGATGATGCTTGGAGAGCTGATTGGAGTTCAAAATAACTCGCAAGCAGCTTGTGAAAGACCCAACGCAGAAAATCCCTGGGTTTGATCTTCCATGAAGGTCATGGTCCAATCTAAACCGCATCCACACAAACCGTGGCAGTAGATGCGATTACCTGATGCACAAATTAAAAATTAAAAACTCTGCAGTGTGCGACGCAACGGGCCCAATCCACAAATATGAAGAAGGCATCACAACAATACACTGCTGCTCCTGACGTGGTTAAACGATAAAACATTTTTTTTATTTTCACCAGGCAAGGCCCACTGAGCTGTACAGCTTTTTTTCAGAAGCGACCTGACCACAAATGACATCTTAACGAAGTGGCTTATCATCAAGTGGAAATGTATAGCAGCCAAATACTCTAAACGCGTGACATTGATTCTAAATGTGGAAGGAAAAACTGGAGGACTCGGAGAAAAATCCACGCAACCACGGGGACAGAGGCACGCGGACTCCAAATATACAACAGGCGTTAGGGTCGGGATCGAACCCACAACCTCCTGTATACCAGGCAAGGGAGTTAACATCTCACCACTGCCGCGCCTGTTTATCTGACTTGACCACCTGAATGTGACATTGTAGTTGGTGCTCTGCATCTGCATCAGCACCCATACGAGAGGAGAAGAAGAAGAAGAGGTGGCAAGACGCAGTGCGGTGATGAGGAGCCGTGTGGAGTCGGAGGTGGCCAAGGCAAGAAGCCACTAATGGGGGGCCTCAAGGACCCGGGGATTAGGGGAGACCAACGTCTTCTCTCGTACAGCTGCTGGTTGGTCAAGCCCAGACAACCGCGCAAGGAGCAGGGGAGTCGTGTCATCGCGGCGATGTCTGCTTCGTCTTTGTGGATCGCAAACCTGTCAACCCCTTATCAGTGCCCATCTTATTCAGACCTTATTGGTCAACCCCGTGGATTGACAGCTGTGGGTTGATAGCTATGGGTTGATAGCTATGGGTTGACAGCTATGGGTTGATAGCTATGGGCATTGCCGTGACCTGTTTGTTACGTTGCGCACCGCCTGTTCTGGATGACACAAGTCGCACACAGCTGACCGAGAGCGGATTTACTAATCGCGGTTCTCACCGCGGCCTCGCGGGCGCCCGTAGCGCCGACGTCACCCGATTCGTGCACGGGCAGCGCGGAGCCACGCAACGGCACACGGGGACCGGGAACCCCGGGAAAGGGGTCCGGACCAGGGGACTCAGGACCCCAGGACAGGGACCCAGACCAGGGGACTTAGGATTCCAGGTCAGGGGACTCAGGACCCCAGGACAAAGGAGCCAGGACTGCAGGGAAGAAGTGGACCCGAGGAGACGGACCCAGGCCTCCATGACGGGGACTTAAGACCCCAGGACAGGGACCCCAGGACCCCAGGTAACCAGGACAGGGACTCTGGGGGACCTTGGCTAAAACAGGGGTGCGTAACCCAAGGCTCGGACCTGGGACCGCAGGAGCTGCAACCAAGCCCAGGCACGCTGCTTGGCCGGGACGTGCGGTGCATCGCGCTGATGCCCGGGGGGCTTCACGCGTGGTCCCCTTCCCGTGCCGCGCAGGGGGTCACCCGTCGGGGGTCGTCCTCCCGCGCCACAGCAGGCAAGGGGGCACGGGCGAGGGAGCCGAACAGCGAGGAGGCGGCACAGTGAGACGAGGATTGGGAGGCAGAGGGGGCCATGCCCCTCTCGCTGCTGCTGCCGCGCCGCGGGAAGCTGCCGCGACCTCGCTGCGCCACGCTCTGCGCCATCTCCCTCATCGCCCTCGCCGCCGTCTCCTTCTACCTGAAGCCGTGCGCCCCGGACGCGGGGGGCCCCGACGGGGCCTCGGCGCGGGAGGCTCGCCACGCCGGGGCCGGAGACGACGGCGGCGGCGACGGCTGCGACAAGTCCCGCGGCAAGTCGGCGCCGCACCTTCAGGCGCCGCTGCCTCAGTCGCAGCCGCGGGTGTCGGCCTTCCTCGCCGTGCTGGTGATGACGGGGCCTCGCTACACGGAGCGCCGCGACATCATCCGCAGCACGTGGCTGGCGGAGCACGGCGGCGGCGGCGGCGGTGGCGACGTGATGGCGCGTTTCGCCGTGGGCACTCACGGCCTGAGCGCCGAGGAGGCGCGGGTGCTGGCCGAGGAGCAGGAGCGGCACGGCGACCTGCTGCTGCTGCCCGAGCTGCGCGACTCGTACGAGAACCTGACGCGGAAGCTGCTGCACATGATGGCGTGGCTGGGGCAGAACGCCGACTTCGAGTTTGTGCTCAAGGTGAGAGAGAGCGAGAGAGAACTGCGGGCCTCTTCCCGCGACCCCGCGCCACGTTGCGTGACTTAACGATCCCACTCATTTTCGCTCATGGTTACACGCAAGGACACTTCTTGACACTTCACTCGTGGGTGGACATGTTCGCAATGTTCTCCATTGCACCGGTTGCAGCACACTACTCCGCACTGCGCTGATGCAGGACACGTCTGGACCCTTTACGAGTTGCGGTCACTCTCGGGTCACTTCCTCGGTGTGGGGGCAGCGAGGGTCGGCGTGTGGCGTGGATGCGGTTGGGACCTGTGGCTTTCGCACGCTTACCGCGCCTTCGCTTTTACGACCCACGCGGACGTCTCCCCCGCCACCTCCGCTCGCCCTGCGTCTGCCCGTCCTCCCCCAGGTGGACGACGACTCGTTCGTGCGCCTCGACGCGCTCGTGCCGGAGCTGCGGCGCCAGGACGCGCGCCGCCTCTACTGGGGCTTCTTCAACGGCCGCGCGCGCGTCAAGGGCTCCGGCCGCTGGAAGGAGAGCGACTGGGTGCTGTGCGACCACTACCTCCCATACGCGCTCGGCGGCGGGTACGTGCTGTCGGCCGACCTCGTGCGCTACGTGCGGGACAACGCGCCGATGCTCAAGCTCTTCCGCAGCGAGGACGCGGCGCTGGGCGCCTGGCTGGCGCCCGTGGACCTGCGCAGGGTCCACGACCCGCGCTTCGACACAGAGTTCCGCTCGCGGGGCTGCAGCGAGCAGTACCTGGTGACGCACAAGCAGAGCACGGAGGACATGCTGGAGAAGCAGCAGAGCCTGCGGAGGCATGGACGCCTGTGCAAGCGCGAGTTCCGCACGCGCCTCTCTTACATCTACGACTGGGCCGTGCCACCCTCGCAGTGCTGCCAGCGCCGAGAGGGGATACCCTAGCGGGAGGTGGGTAGGGGCGTGGGGGAGGAACCCCCCCCCCCCCCACCTGATTTAGGGTAAGGGGAAACTCAACTTCGTCCCTGACTACGGGACTTCCATGTCGCATGGGCCGTGGTTTAATTTCGTACGGCTGCGTATCTTTTCGAAGTTGTGCCCTCGAGCAGCTCTACGATGTCGTTTCGGGGTTTTCGGCGCGTGTTGTTCGGCACGGTGTCAGCTCCGTTCCTGGAGAAGCGGCCGGCATGTGGAGCGAAACAGTCGGACGTCGTGCCGAACGGCGCGCTGCAACCCGGATATACGAGAAGTTGTTCATGGTTTTTGCCGTCACTGCGAGTCTTAGCCGCACTGATCGGGTGCCGGAGGAGAATATTTTCGTCCTGGCAATAACCCGCGTTTTTTGCTCCTGTTGCTGTGAGGTCCTTGTATACTCGGTCGACACACACGGTATTTTTGTGATGTTGCATAACGCCGAGGTTGCTTGCGTGTTTTAACGTGCAGTTACCCACTAATGGTATTTGAAATTACAAAAGCTTCCTCGCCCCTGCGCTATTTGTTGGTAAGGGAGGGCATCCTCCTTGCCTCCCACGCAGGGTCGGGTAACCGTCTAAAAGTGCTGACCACGCAGATTTGTGAAAACCTCAAGACCTGAAAGGTGCCAGTGAAGCAGTAGCGCAGCGAGTGGATTCAAGAACCCAACTGTGCAGAACTTTGTGTTACTATTCCCTTGTATGCGCGATGGGTTTTTTCCGGTTTCGCCGGATTCCTAATTTAATGTGGAAATTTTCCACACATTCCGATGTAGTCAAACACCCCTGACAAAGTTTCTACACTTATTGAGGCTTTTTCGGATAAATAAAGACATTTTACGGAGCGTCGTCATTCTGGGAACCTCAGCCTCAAGTTGTCTGCTCTTGGAGACTTTGAGAAACACGGGGCCCATTGTCAGACCCTTCTCGTCTGGACAGTATTAGCCTGGATCACCAGAGGGCCCCCCACATCCCACAGGCCCCCTCCCATATTTCCAGACCACACGTGGAAGAACACACATGGAAGAGCGTGGCTTTATTGCCGTGTCACGGCCCTCGAGCTGGATGGCTTTATGCCCCATATGTGAGGTGAGGGTTGTTACTTCTTTTGCACTGGCACAACCGTGCCGTGCTGGGACTGTCCCAAGCCAGGCCGCTGTGGCGCCGGGATGTTTTTTTTTTCCACTGAGGATGCCCGAGCCGTGCTGCCAACATCACACGCGCAGTGGACGAGTCTGTAAGCCCCGCCCATATCCCTGCTTGGCCCCGAGCCAGATTCGGATGTGTTCTGATGCCAGCTCGGCATGGTAAGTAGCCGGTGGGAGACCACCCGTCCCCTAAGTGGCCATCGGCTTGGATGGGCCAATGGAAAGAGCATATTTGTGTCAATGTGTGACCGTTAAACCTGTAACTTCATATCCTCACAGGGAATATCGTCATCGGAGGTGGTAATGTGTGCTGTACTGTACTCTGCAAACCCCATGCTTTGTCTTGTGTAAGTTGATTCGGTGTGTGTGTATCCACGAGTTGCAGGCAGCAGTGGTGTAGTGGTTGGTGCAGTGCACTGTGAACCCAGTGATCTGAGTTTGATTGCCAGCCACGGCTAACATCAGTTGTGAGTGATATCTGAACCAGTCCTGGGCCTCCCCTAGGTCGACTTAACCTTAAATGTGCCTGGTGCTGTGTGTAAATATCACCACTGGGGTGACAGGCGACATGGTGTTGGCCACACCACCCTCTCGTTATACCTTAATAGGTGCTTACGGACAGCACTTGTCACGGCAGTCTGTATGGCAAAAGGGGGGCCTTTGTCTTTGTAGTGTGTACGCTAAAGTAGTGGGGTTTATCAGGCCAGATTCGATTCCAGTGACCAGTATTGATGGCAAATTTAAAGACTCATTTCAACTGAAGCTTAATTTCAAATGGGTCTGTCTAGGTTAAGGACTCGGAAAATACTTCTGCGCCCGGCACACCACATCCACTGTACCTCTCACTATGGCTGTGGCTACTACTATTCACGTGGGACCCTACTGCAGTCTACCAGTGGTAGAATTTAAGGCCAGCGTTTGCAGCTGTTAGATTATGGCGATACAGAAACGACTATGATACATCTTGCGAGAATAGATTCGCGATAATTGTACCGTCTGTTTTTTTTGCGTGCAAAATATTGCGAGGTAGTGATTATCTTCACTGTATTGTTAAATACTTAACATTTCCTGACATTTTTTTATTGAAACACAAAGTTCTAAATAATAAATATTTATCAACGGTTAAAGTAGCGCTTTGACAAATTGTTTACTGGAGAAATTGACAGCCTGGGTCGGTTACATCATGACTTGGTCATTGTTGTAATTCGTAGAATTATTTGTGCATCATGAGCATTAGATGTAATACAAAAAGGACAGTATTTATTTTCTTATATCCAGTGCTTCTAATAGAAGATCACAAAGCGCCGTACGTGTGAACATTTCAACGCTCCGTAAAAACATGAAATTAAAAGTGCCATATAAAACGTAAAATTATGGTGAAGAGATTGTGACTGGGGGTAGATGTTGTAAAGTCGTTAGAGGAGTTAAGTCAGGCACATCTTGAGTGACCTGCACTTAAATAAATTTTAATTTAAATATCTTCTTACTAGAAGCAAAGCACAAAACACACAACAATACAAACGCTAAATACAATTCATTGCAACGTTTATGGAAAACTGATTTCCCGGTAATCACTGTAACGTGAAACATTTGTATCGTTTCGTGAAGATTGATAACTCGGCAACCCCCCCACGTACAACCCCCCCCCCCCCCCCCACTTGTGACACCGTCCAGTATTTCCGCGTGATGTGTCTCAACGTAACCGCGTGCGTGCGTCACGCTCGTGCTGCTGTGCTGGGCTCTCCGGTGTTGCCTTCCGAGTTGTGCCGCGCGTGTTTTCCGCCCGCGGACGATGTCTGACGGTCTCCCTCCACGTGCCGGGAGCTTCTTCAGTAGCCGAATTCGCCGAGTGAGTGCGAGAGCGTAGTGGGTGCGTGATTGAGTGAGTTTTTTAGGTGCGTTAGTGAGGTATTGATGGAGCGATTGAGCGGTTAGGTGAGTTAAAGAGGGGGGGGGGCCTTGATGAAGTGAGTGGGTAATTGGATTGATGGAGAGGTTGAATGCGGGAATGGTTGAGTGGATGAGATCGAGCGAGTAAGTGAACCGAATTAAGTTCCTGAAGAAACTCTTGGTGCACGGAGCGAAACGTCGGGCATCACGCCGAGCAACGCGCGGGCGCAGCCCGTGGACACGTGGGAGAGATTCGTTTTAAATTCCTCGCTCCGATTGTTCCATATGATGTGCAATCATTCCGCAGTGCTCGTGTATAGCTACGTGGACGAGTGTGAAGATGTCGGCGTTAGGTTCTGACAGGTTTACATAGTGTCTCGTCGTTTTATCATAAAATAAAATAACGCTGGATGGAACGGTCTCCGTTTCCTGCCTTTGCTGAGCAGGTAAGACCCAGGGAGGATTGTACGAACAGTGGGCATTACTAAGCCCATTTCACTCACCCACTCACTTGAACATTCACTCCCGCACTCACTCAATTATCGTCGGTGTTGGACGTGCAGCGGGCAGCAGCGAGTTCGGCCACAGCAGGTATCACCGAGCCAGTCGCCTCATTTAGACACCATCAGGTAAAAACTGAGCGAGTCATGTGATGCAGTCAGCTGACCTAAGATATTATTATTACTGCGTAGTGATGTGTATTTATCGTCATTTACAGATTTGAGAGTGGGCCTTCCAGAACGAGGTTGATGGATACAACATCGGCAGCATTGCGCCACGTGGTTCAGACACTATGGGTTGTACTGACCCGAGTCATGTGGTGCAGACAGAGCGGGCATCGCAGCTGGCGTAGACACATCGAACTAACCCCAGTGATGGAAGGAGGGTACCCACTCCTAGTGTGGCAGTGGAGCGGTGGCGCATTGGTTAGCGTAATGCACTGTGATCCCCTGCAACGTGAGTTAAATTCTTAGCCACGGCTAACAGCGGCGAGTGGTATCTGAAGCTGTCAGTCCTTGGCCACCACCTGTCTTCACTGACCAGTGTGGTGAATTTCGATTTAAAGCTTTCGTGACTGCAATGATTCATCTTCTTTGGTTCTTTCGGTAAAGTCACGTAGAATGAGAATAAAATAATAAATTGATCAAATAAAATAACACAATAATATTCTCACGACGTTTCGGCCACAACACAAGCGGCCTTCATCAGGTGAAGGGACGAGACTGTCTGGTAGGACAGCGCTGGAGTCCTTTCACTCCAGCGCTGGAGTCCTTTCACTCCAGCGCTGTCCTACCAGACAGTCTCGTCCCTTCACCTGATGAAGGCCGCTTGTGTTGTGGCCGAAACGTCGTGAGAATATTATTGTGTTATTTTATTTTATCAATTTATTATTTTATTATCATTCTACGTGACTTTACCGAAAGAACCAAAGAACAGTGTGGTGAAGTATGGTTAAACACCCCCCATGCTCAACATGGCGTGGAGAGTCATTCATCAAGCGAGGGATTGACAAAGGGCAGTACATGAACGGTTTGTTGGCGTCAACTTCCCACTTGCTACCGGATATCTGTGAAACTACTGGACATTTGTGACAAACAAGCTTCATGGCTCATGATTCCTCCAGTAAAAACATTTACAAAAAAAATCCGATTCATTGAGCTATAGAGTACTCTCGCTCATCGAGGTCGAGATGTTATTTAACCTCAGCAGCGAAGGGCCCAGTGAGCTGCTGGGGGCAACAATAAGCTCTTTCACGGGCGTTCCAAGCGTAAACCAGTAGAGTATTCGCACAGAGTTCGTGCTGTCCAGAGCTCTTATTCATAGCGCTCTGGGCCCGGTTGTTATTGTTGCGGAGCGAGGCGGTGGCGTCACGACCGTGTACACAAATGACGTCAGGCGTGCAAACAATGACGCCACGCCGCGTAAAACTTTCGCCACGCAGCGCGCCGTAGCGCGCGCTCCCAACGCCGCCACGTGGATCTCCGCGCTCCCCGCGCTCTCCTCTCTCCCTCCAGCGCGCTTCTCGGACCTCCGCACATCCCCTCGGCACCCTTGTTTACCCCCTCGTAGGCCCCGTTCCCTCCGAACCCCGAGTGCGGCCTAGTACCCCGTCCCGCGCCGACGCGGAGCCTCCGGTCTTTCCTAGAGGCCTCCGCCTGGTGGAAGTGGACGCTGACCTGGCTGCACCCAAGCCCGGCGGACCGGTCGCGTTTATCTCTCGTGTCTTGTCGTTGTGTCTTTCTCGGGGACGCTCGGCGAGATGGTGTCGCGCAAGGTGAAGGTGTGCACGGCCCTCGGGCTCTCCTACGCGCTGCTACTGGCGGCGTTTCTCTGGCTGGACGTGACGGCGCGGCCCGCGGGCCTAGGCGCGGCCACGCACGGGAACGAGGACCTCAAGGAGGTCGCGGCGCCCACGGTGGGCAAGGGCCCGGTCGACGGCGGCGACCAGGGTGGACAACCACAGCAGCAGCAGAAGCAAGAGCAACGGCAGGACGATCAGCAGGAGGATAAACGGCGGCAACAGCAGCAGGAGGAGGAGAAGGGAGGAAAGGCGTCGCGTCCTGCTAAGAAGGAGGAGGCCCACTCGCGGCGTGCCGAGGAGAATGAGATCCTCCCTCCGGACCACCTCAATGGAGTCAAGATGGAGCGCGACGGGCACCTCAACAAGGACTTCCACCAGGAGGTGTTCCTGGGCAAAGACAAGGAGGAGTTCGAGGAGGACTCGGAGCCGCGCAGGAACCGCCAGAAACTCATCGAAATCTTCGCCAAGTGAGGGGGAGGAGGAGGGGGGGGGGGGTTGCTGAACGGGGTCCTCGTGGCCATCGTCGAGGCCCTCGTGGCCATCGTCGAGGCCCAGATTCGTGTCGTGAATAAAAGAGGACGCGGTCCCGAGTTAGGCTGGCCACATCCACTCTCCCCACGCTCTCTCTCCACTCTCGCTCTACTCCCAATCTCTCCCCACACTCTCTACTATCTCCACATTCTTCCCCACGCACCTCTCTCGACCGTTCCTAAACACTCTGCTCTCCCCACTCTCTCTACTCTCCCCACTCTCTCTACACTCCCCACTGTCTCTACACTCCCCACTCTCTCTACACTCTGCACTCTCTCTACTCTCCCCACTCTCTCTACACTCCCCACTGTCTCTACACTCCCCACTCTCTCTACACTCCCCACTCTCTCTACTCTCCCCACTCTCTCTATTCTCCCCACTCTCTCTACACTCCCCACTCTCTCTACACTCCCCACTCTCTCTACTCTCCCCACTCTCTCTATTCTCCCCACTATCTCTACACTCCCCACTCTCTCCTCTCCCCACTGTCTCTACTCTCCCCACTCTCTCTACACTCCCCACTATCTCTGCACTCCCCACTGTCTCTACTCTCCCCACTGTCTCTACTCTCCCCACTCTCTCTACACTCCCCACTCTCTCTACTCTCCCCACTGTCTCTGCACTCCCCACTCTCTCTACACTCCCCACTCTCTCTACTCTCCCCACTCTCTCTACACTCCCCACTCTCTCTACTCTCCCCACTCTCTCTACACTCCCCACTCTCTCTACTCTCTCTGCACTCCCCACTGTCTCTGCACTCCCCACTCTCTCTACACTCCCCACTCTCTCTACACTCCCCACTCTCTCTACTCTCCCCACTCTCTCTACACTCCCCACTCTCTCTACTCTCCCCACTCTCTCTGCACTCCCCACTCTCTCTACTCTCCCCACTGTCTCTGCACTCCCCACTCTCTCTACTCTCCCCACTCTCTCTACTCTCCCCACTCTCTCTACACTCCCCACTCTCTCTACTCTCCCCACTCTCTCTGCACTCCCCACTCTCTCTACTCTCCCCACTCTCTCTACACTCCCCACTCTCTCTACACTCCCCACTCTCTCTACTCTCCCCACTCTCTCTACACTCCCCACTCTCTCTACACTCCCCACTCTCTCTACACTCCCCACTCTCTCTACTCTCCCCACTCTCTCTACTCTCACCACTCTCTCTACTCTCCCCACTCTCTCTACTCTCCCCACTCTCTCTGCACTCCCCACTCTCTCTACTCTCCCCACTCTCTCTACACTCCCCACTCTCTCTACACTCCCCACTCTCTCTACACTCCCCACTCTCTCTACACTCCCCACTGTCTCCTCTCCCCACTCTCTCTACACTCCCCACTGTCTCTACTCTCCCCACTCTCTCTACACTCCCCACTCTCTCTACACTCCCCACTGTCTCTACTCTCCCCACTCTCTCTACACTCCCCACTCTCTCTACTCCCCTCTCCCCAACTCTTTCCCACGCACCACTCTACCGCTCCGGTACCCTCTCTACTCTCCCCGCACTATCCAATTGCACCTATCATTGTCACCACTGAGGTATAAAAACAACAACAAAAACCCGGCACGTGTTTAATGTCCCGAGAAGAGAGTGACACATTTCCCGAGGAGGGGCTGAGCTAACCAGTACTGGGTTTAGAGTCTGGGTTCAGGGCTGTTACTCCAACCCTTGTTGTAGGCTGTGTCGCTCGTGTTGGAGTAAATTGCGGGGTTTGCCGTGCTTCCTAGTTGGGAGCAAAGCGATTAGGCGAATTGTAATTATACCTCGACCCTAGGTTGCCCTGCCTTTACGAGTAACTCCGTTGTATTGTGTCCGAAACATTCTGATTTTACTTTTAATACAATAGTTAGGAATACATTTTTGGTTATTGGAGGGCTTGTCTGTTACACAGAATCTACTAATAGGTAACTATTAATTTGCCAATTTAAAACATTCATTTAAAATGCAATTCTTATTGGGCCCCATGTACCTTGCAGTCTCCAACTCGGATTATTTACTCTGTCTCTCTGGCCTTTCAATGTGCTATGAAGGGCTATTTCCTGAAACATCACCTATTAGATTTTCCTTTTAAGGCCACGGTGTTATTGACGAATGTGCGTTTATTTGTCTTTGTGGGAGTCGCCCAACTGCACAGATGCTGCATAGCGTGCGTGTTAGGTACAGGGCTTGTGAGTTTAAGGCGTATTTGTCACATCCTGGGGTGGGGTGTGTCAGGTGTAGGTGTGTCAGGTGTAGGTGTGTGGAGTTCATGTGAGGTGTAGGTGCGGGGTGTTCATGTGAGGTGTAAGTGTGTGGTGTTCATGTGAGATGTAAGTGTGTGGTGTTCATGTGAGGTGCGGGGTGTTCATGTGAGGTGTAAGTGTGTGGTGTTCATGTGAGATGTAAGTGTGTGGTGTTCATGTGAGGTGCGGGGTGTTCATGTGAGGTGTAGGTGCGGGGTGTTCATGTGAGGTGTAGGTGTGTGGTGTTCATGTGAGGTGTAGGTGCGGGGTGTTCATGTGAGGTGTAGGTGCGGGGTGTTCATGTGAGGTGTAGGTGCGGGGTGTTCATGTGAGGTGTAGGTGCGGGGTGTTCATGTGAGGTGTAGGTGTGGTGTTCATGTGATGTGTAGGTGCGGGGTGTTCATGTGGGGTGTAGGTGCGGGGTGTTCATGTGAGGTGTAGGTGTGTGGTATTCATGTGAGATGTAGGTGTGTGGTGTTCATGTGAGGTGTAGGTGTGTGGTGTTCATGTGAGGTGTAGGTGCGGGGTGTTCATGTGAGATGTAGGTGTGTGGTGTTCATGTAAGATGTAGGTGTGTGGTGTTCATGTGAGGTGTAGGTGCGGGGTGTTCATGTGAGATGTAGGTGTGTGGTATTCATGTGAGATGTAGGTGTGTGGTATTCATGTGAGATGTAGGTGCGGGGTGTTCATGTGAGGTGTAGGTGTGTGGTGTTCATGTGAGGTGTAGGTGCGGGGTGTTCATGTGAGGTGTAGGTGTGTGGTGTTCATGTGAGGTGTAGGTGTGTGGTGTTCATGTGAGGTGTAGGTGCGGGGTGTTCATGTGAGGTGTAGGTGCGGGGTGTTCATGTGAAGTGTAGGTGTGTGGTGTTCATGTGAGGTGCGGGGTGTTCATGTGAGGTGTAGGTGCGGGGTGTTCATGTGAGGTGTAGGTGTGTGGTGTTCATGTGAGGTGTAGGTGCGGGGTGTTCATGTGAGGTGTAGGTGCGGGGTGTTCATGTGAAGTGTAGGTGTGTGGTGTTCATGTGAGGTGTAGGTGCGGGGTGTGTGTGTCAGCTGACCATCAGGGTTGGGTGTCGAGTTTAACTAATCTATTCACGCTTATGGAAATTCTCCTCCCCCGCACATCTTTGTGGAGATGGCTGTCGCTAAGTGGGTAACATTTACCTGCGCCTTATTTGAGTAAGAGGCTGAGCTGCACGCGTCTTAGCGCGAACTTCCGCACTTATCCCCTGGCCACCTCGCCGTACCTGAGTAAGTTTCAGCTCAATGACATGACGCCACAAACGATGTCGCTGCTGGTGCTGTCTTCCCGCCCACCTCCCCAGTGCTGACCATCATCCTATGTGGATCTCTTGGGATACTGGGAGACACTGCTGATACGGTGGCGAGATGTTAACTACTTCGCCTGGTTTGCAGGAATTCGTGAGTTCGGTCCCGACCCTACAGCCTGTATATTTTGAGTTTGCATGTTCTCCCTGAGGTTGCGTGCATTATTTCTGAGGGTCCCCCGGTTTTTGCCTCCGCATTTAGAATCAACGTCATGCGTTTATAGTATTTGGCTGCTATAAATTTCCACGTGGTTATAAGCCACTAAGTTGAGCTATCATTGGTGATAGCCAGGTCGCTTCTGAAAAAGAGCTATGTAGCTCTTGTAGACCTTACCTGGTAAAATAAACAATAGTTTAGTTTATATTTATGATGCTGCTTCTCTTGCTGCACGTACTCAGGCCCTCTTCCTTGCTCCCAGGGTCCACTGCTCCACAATTGGTGGCCACTGTTTTAGCCACTACGCCCTCACCCTCTGGAACTCAATTATCAGGCAACATGGCCTCCTCCCTCGTCCCCTCTCCCTCTGCTGCTTTCAAGCCTCACCTAAACACTTTCCTCCTCAATGCGGTGCTGTCACACCCTCTTCATTACTTCCTTTCTCGCCTTCCCTTTCTCGGTTCATCCCATTCCCTTCCGTTTCCTCCTGTGTGATTCTGTCCTCCGGGAAATTTGTTGTGCTGTTGCTGATGCTTCTGTTACTTCTTCTGCTGCTACTACTGCTATTTACTGCTGCTACTCGAGCAAATACTACTCCTGCTGATACTACTGCTGCTACCGCTGTTTCTGCTTTTACTGCAACGACCACCACTGCTGCAATGCCTGCTGCTACACCTGCTACTTCCTGCTACTGCTGCTGCTTCTACTGCTGCTGCTACTTACTACTACAGTACTTGCTACTGCTACTTTGACTACTTACCACTACTTGCCGGTGCCAATGTAGTAGCTCAGCGGGCGATACGCGAGCTGGTACCGAGCAGCACGAAGGCACCGGAGCCTGGCTGCAAGGGGCGCTGCCACGATGACTCTCGCGAACATAAACACGGTCACGGGCGGTGGACGGGTTAGCAAAACACGGGGCGGACGGAGCGATCGCGTCTGGAAAGAAAAACAAGAGCGGCGCAAGCGGCTCGGGTTACGCTACCTACGCTCGCTGGGACGGATCTGGCCGGGCGCCGCAACCGCCAGGGTTAGTTTCTCCCAGCAGCAGCGTGGCATTTTTGAGTCAGCGGAATGTTTTTATTTTATTTGAGTTGTCAAAACCTTTCACCCACGGGAAGGTGTGAGTTGGGACAGAACGGCGAGGGCGGGCACGGCTCAAGGATGGGCAGCAGGAAGAAAAGGAAAGGAACGCTGGCCGGGAAGTAGGGGAGGGGGAGAAGGAATG